CTCACCGTGCCCTGCATGGGAACCCAAGGTGACTAAAGCATGCTGCTTGTCCAAAGGGCACTCGAAGTTCGGTGATCTGGGGGCATCTGGCTTCTACCACTGACAAAGACATTTTCTCCTACTGGTAGAGAAATACTCTGAGGCCTTTTTTTTTTTTTTTTTTTTTTTTTAATGCACTGTTTTGTTTGCTGCTGTCTTAATTGTTGCCATGTTATATTTTATCAGTTTAATGTTCTCATTTTGTGCTTGGGCCCTGAGGCAATTCAGTGAAGGGTATGATTTGGAAAATGAGGGAAATAAAGAAATTGTCCACAGAAGAGGCAGCCTCCCAGGAGCCAAGGACAAAGCGCGAGTACTGACAATGAATTTTATTGGGAGCAAAACAAAACCAAACAACCTGTTGCCAGACAGAAGGTATTAGACCACGCTGGTGTGGTGTTGTTTTCCTTCTTTAATTTAATTCCAGTTCTGCATTTCTTCCAGGGTCAGCCAAGGATGCACAATCCAGTTCCCTCCCTCCTTCTTTCCAGAAGCCTTCCTCATTCCTGCCCCCAAGCCTAGACTCTGTGAGCACCTGGCCTGCCCTGCCCTCCCTTCTTCTTCAGCAGAGCTCTGTAACCACTCACGCACTCGCCAATACTTATTAAATGCTTGCTGTATGCAGGCGCTGTGCAGAATGCCGGAAATAATACAACCAGCAAGGCAAAGGTAAGGCTGCTTCCAGGCAGTTTACATTCTCCTAAGACACGCGTTCTCAGGTGGGGCCTCGATCCCCTCAAGGAAATGAAAACTGGTTCCTGGAGGTGTTGGTGGGAAAAAGTCTTAGATCTTACCATGGTTTGTATGCACATCATGTTTATTCATCGTCCATTCAGCCACCCAAGCAGAAACCTGGGCATCAGCACCAGTTCCAGCTGCCAGCCCTCTCTGATCTCAGGGCTCCCAACCTCATAAGGCCTGGCCCATGAAGGTTTCCACTCGCTCCCTGAAGACTTACCCCATCTGCCTTGCTTCCCTCACTACCCAGCCTAGATCCCAGGACCCAGAAATTTAGCATCTCTTTGCCAACACTTGAGACCCCTGTGCCCTTTTTCCCTACCCATCTGGCCAAGCCCTAGGCCTAGATAAATCCCACTATGTGCACACCTCCAGCCTGCAGCTGGGTAGGGGAGCCTGATGGAGGAATGGAACAATTCCTGTCCTCGGCAGGACAGGACGAGACCCGCATACGCTAAGGACCACCAACATCAACCGGGGAGCCGAGACTATCAGGCAAGCGGGGATTTTGTGGGCAAGTTGCTTCTCAACTCTCTGAATGATCATTCTCCTTCTTTCAAACTCCTCACCACCTCTTCCTCATTCTCAGCAGAAGACCTTGCCTCCCACTTTGCAGAAAAAAATAGAAGCTCAAAATGAAATCTCCCTTAACATCCCACTACAAACCTACATCTACATCTGCACCCATCCTCTCTTTGTTCCTGCTTTTGGGTTCTAGAGAACTCATCCCTCCTCCTCCCCAAGACCAACCTCCCCACCCACGTGCCAGATCCCAGACCCTCACACATGCTTGAGGGAACATTACTCGCTGATTAGCTCCTCTATTTCTTACACTCTTGATTAATCTCTCTCTCCTGGATCTGCCATTCACTTTTAAACAAATCTCAGGTCTCTGTGCCTTAAAATACACCTCTCCTGACATACATACTGGCCCTATCACTTATCTTTCTCATCCTCTTTACACAAAAAATTCGCGGAAGACCCACTGCTTCCCTCATCCCTCCTGCACTCATCAGATCACTCCCATCTGACCCCTACATCACACCAAACTAAATAGTCCTCCCTAAGGCCCCAACAATCGCCACACCTGGCAATAAACCAAAGCCCAGGGCTGTACCCTCCTCCTATCTGACCTCTCAGAGCATCCCCCCACCTAGTCTTCTCAGCTTCCTAAAATGTTTCCCTTGGCCTCCTTCCATAAGCCCACTCTCCTGGGCTTTCTCCAACCTGTCCAGTCGCTCCTGTGCAGTCTTTGCAGGCAGATCCTTTGGCACACAGCCCTAATCTGTAAGTGTACCTCAAAACTTCATCCTGGGCCGTCTCTCTTCTCTTTCCACATTCTCCCTGAGCAAGCTTCTCATCCACAGCCACAATTATCATCTCTCTCTATCGACAGCTTCTCATCTTCATCTCCAGCCCAGACCTCCACGCTGCATCCAAACCCAGGTTTCCAAGAACCTTCTCATTACCTGCACGTGGTGACCATAAGGCATTTCAAGCTCAAGATGTCTAATGTAGAACATATACTTTCACTTCTCCATCCACATCCTCCTCTCCTCACTCAAACCACCCCACTGTCTCAGTCCTCTTCCAGTTTTTTCTATCTCAGGGAAAGATACTGCCTACTTGTTTGCACGGAAATCTCAAGGTCCCTTCTGACACTGCCTCTTCCTCCCCTCCCATTCCGACACACCTCTGTGACAACTTTAGTTCCTGATTAACTCTGGGGACCTTCCACCGCCACCAGCACCACACCCTCCCCCAACACTGTCTTCTCCCTGGATGCCTGCCTGCACTCCTAACCCTGACCTGTCTTCCCACAGCTACTCATACCCACCAGACACACTCCACTGTCCACTGGGCAGGCACACAGGTTACAGTAAAATTCAGATTTCATCCTGTATCTCTTGGGCTTACACCATCAGTGGCTTCCAACGGCTCTTAGGATAGAGAAAAAAACCCTTGATGTGGCCAGTCCTTCACATGGAGTCTGCCCTCTGCTCACCTTCTACACTCCCCAGCCCCCCTGCTCTCCCTCTGGGCTCTGCTACAGAGGCCTTTCCTTGTCTCTTCTCTCAGCTGTATCTTCTGCTTCAGGCCCTTTGCCCAGGTTCTTCCGTCTGCTCAGGTTTCTTCTCCCCGGCCCTCCCGTACACATAGTTCTGGTTTTCTCATAACCATCAATTTCTCAGGGAATCCTTCCCTAACTCCCAAGAAAAAAATAGATTCCTCCTTCCTGTTAAATGCTTTCACAATAATAGCACACACACACACACGCACACAGAGTGCTATTGTTCAGAGCTCTTCTAAGCATTTCTGCTGAGAATTCATTTACTCCTTATGACAACACCATGAGATAGAAATTATAATTATCTCCATCATATGGATAAAGAAACTGAGTCACAGAGAAGTTATGTAACTTGTCCAAGATCACCTAGTGTGTGAGGCAAAGCCAGAATTTGAACCCAGGCAGTGTGACTCCGGTGCAGCTTTTAAACATTATATTATTCCATAACAAAACACTATTATTTTCCTTCCTTCACTTACTCGCTGTTCGGAACACTGTATTGTATGACTATTAGTTTAGCGTGTGTCTTCTCCATTAGACTGCAAGCTCTACAGGAGTAGAGATTGTTCCATCCCCAATAGTAGGTGCTCAATAAATATTTGCTCAAGAAAATAGAAAATGTGAATGTGTATAGGCAGATAACATTTTCCATCCAAGTTTAGGACAAAGATAAGCACATACCTGGACCTTCTAGGGTTAGGAACTCCCGCTCCAGAAAGAAACATACTGCCATCAGATTCTCAATGGGGCCATGAAATTAAGAACAGCTGACTCTCATATTCTTCAGCCTACCTCATCTTTTCCCTGCCACCCACCTTCCCCCAACAACTATAACAGCCTCACATTTAGTATTAATAGTATGTGCTTTGATCTTAGCAATATATATGTGTGTATATATATATATATATATATATATATATATTTTTTTTTTTTTTTTTTTTTTTTTGAGATGGAGTCTTGCTCTGTCGCCCAGGCTGGAGTGCACTGGTGCAATCTCGGCTCACTGTGACCTCCACCTCCCGGGTTCAAGTGATTCTCCTGCCTCAGCTTCTTGAGTAGCTGTGATTACAGGCGTGCACTACCACACCCAGCTAATTTTTTTGTATTTTTAGTAGAGAATGAGTTTCACCTTGTTGATCAGGCTGGTTTAGAACTCCTGACCTCGTGACCCACCCACCTCGGCCTTTGGGACAAAGGCTGGGATTACAGGCGTGAGCCACCGCTCCCGGCTTAACAATTTTTAAAAACACAAAACAAGGTCAACCTTTGAAAAGCCAGTCAGACTAACGCCCCCAGAGCAAAGTCCCAAACTCTGCTGGGGGTGGGGGTGTTGTAGGCCTTGTCTACTTCTTCATCCTTATGGGCTCTCATTTGTTTTCTCTACCCCACCCCACCCTACCTCGATAGCCCAGCAACACAGACTGGGTTCTGGGTTTGGGGTTCCTGGGCAATAGCAGGGTGTTTTCTCATGCCTAGACTCATGCAGTGCCCTCTGCCAGTCGTTTCCTTTGCACCCAGCAGTTTCTGCTCTGTCTTTATGCCTCAGCTTAGATATCTCTTTGGGGTTAGGTGCCCCTCCTTGGGGTGCCCATAGGCTGCATCTGTCCCTGACAAGGCACACCAGATAGTGAACTATAGCTGCTTAGTTACAGACAGTCCTCTCTGTGAGCCTTGAGGGCATCTGCCATGTATTGTGCATCGTTTGAATCCCCCTAGCCTAGCCGGGTGCTAGCCCAAGTTACCGGGCTTACTACAGATTTGTTCAATTAGTCAATGAATGAATAAACTGACAACTAGCGTCTGGTTCATGGGTACCAAAAAATGTGTTAAATGGATAAATGAGAGAGTAATGGCAGTTCGAAGTTCATGTCTAGAGAAAGATCCAGATTAGGGCGTTCAGAGATGAATAAAACGCAGCCTTCAGAGAATTGGAACAAGGAAGATAAATCTCTTCAAGGAGCCAGCCGGAAGGATTAAAAGAGTCATCATCCATAACCCGGCCGGCTCCGGGGTCGGGTCCCTCTCTAGCCCCGCCCACTCAGCGCCAATGGGTGGTCATGTTGCACGCTAAACCCCGCCCCTTTCGCGTTGAGGGGCGGGGCCGGCCACTCCAGGAGAGGGGACTACGTTTCCCGACGTGCCGCGCGGCCGGGGCGAACAAGGAGCCGGAAGTGGGGCGCGCGAGGTCTAAGGGCGCGAGGGAAGTGGCGGGCGGGGACTAAAGAGGGGCGTGCAGGTAGCCGGCAGGCCGGGGGTCGCGGGCATGGCCGAGGCCAGGAAGCGGCGGGAGCTACTTCCCCTTATCTACCACCATCTGCTGCGGGCCGGCTATGTGCGCGCGGCGCGAGAAGTGAAGGAGCAGAGCGGCCAGGTAAGCGTTCGTGGGCCGTGTGCGAGGGCCGCGTGTAGGATGTGGAGATCAGCGGCCCGCGCCCCGCCCTCAGGCGGCCCGGCGGGCACCCAGAGCCGGGTCCCGCCGTGCTCAGCGGCGCGGGCCACGGGTACCGGAGGAGCCGCAACCTCTGCCTCGCCACTGCGACTTCACTTCCCCTGGGCCTCACTTTCCTCATCTGTGCAGTGGGCGGGCCGGAACATGTGCTCGCAGGGGCCGCACTTTGTAATTCCCGCGTCCCTTACCTCCACGCCCTTTCTGGTAGCGGCTGTTTTAAGTTTCCTGAGTCTATCGCCACGTGGCTACGCTCAGCACGGCCCCCCTGGGGCGAGGAGGTTGCCGCGAGGTGGATTGCGACCAGCCCCTTGGGGGCGCGCCTCGAGAAGGTATCCCACAGCCCCTTAGTTGAGCTGGAACTCAGGCCCTTAGCGATTGTCTGTACTGAGACGGACAGCTTTGGGACTCGAACTCGTGGTACAGTCATTTCTTACTTGATTGATTGATTCAGCTGTTAGTCAAGTACTCAGGGTGCTTCCTGGGAGATGCTGAGCACCGCCTTCCAGCCCTCCTGGAGCTTACACTCTAGTAGGGTAGAAAAATCAAAGAAACACAAGTGACTATATGCTTAGCACTACATTAAGTGTTAAGAATGAGAGGGATGGGCTGTGCACGGTGGCTCACGCCTGTAATCCCAGCACTTAGGGAGACCGAGGCAGGCGGATCACCTGAGATCAGAAGTTTGAGACCAGCCTGGCCAACAAGGTGAAACACTGTCTCTACTAAAAATACTAAAATTAGCTAGACTTAGTGGCTCAGGCACAAGAATTGCTTGAACCCAGGAGGCAGAGGTTGCAATGAGCCGAGATCGTGCCACTGCACTCCTGGGCGATAGAGTGAGACTCCGTCTCAAAAAAAAAAAAAAAAAAAAAAAAAAAAGATGAGACGGGTGGCAGAATGCCCTGGTCAGGACTGCCTTTCAAAGCAAGTAAGTGGCAGTTGATCTGAGAACTGAAGGAAGGGAGGTGAATATTCCAGGCTGAGGTGTAAATGCCCTGTGGAGGGAGGGAACTTGTGTACATACTGGCCTCGAGAAAGTCCACTCTCTTGAGCCTGGGAGTTTGAGGATACAGTATGAGCAGTATAAGTCATGATTGTGCCACTGCACTCCAGCCTGGGCAACAGCAAGACCCTGTCTCAAAAATAATTTTTTTCGAGTCCATAGCAGGCCAGGTGCTGTGGCTCATGCCTGTAATCCCAACACTTTGGGAGGCTGAGATAGACGGATCATTTGAGGCCAGGAGTTTGAGACCAGCCTGACCAACATGGTGAAACCCATCTTTACTAAAAATACAAAATTTAGCAGGGTGTGGTGGTGCGCACCTGTAGTCCCAGTTACTTGGGAGGCTGAGGCAGGAGACTCACTTGAACCCAGGAGGTGGAGGTTGCAGTGAGCTGAAATTGAGCCACTGCACTCCAGCCTGGGCAACAGAACGAGACTCCATCTCAAAAAAAAAAAAAAAAAAAAAGTCCATAGTGGCTGAAGTGTGGAGTACAAGGGCCAGATGCCCCTGGAGAGATGGAGGCAGGGGGCTGGCTGGAGTGGTCTGGTGGGCAGATTGATCTTCCTTGGAAGAGCAGTGGTAAACCAATGGAGAGTTTTGAGCTGATGAGATGGTATCCTGAGTAGTCAAATCACTTTACCTTGTAGTTTAGGCTCTGTTCCTAATGCTTGCTATTAGAACCTCCTGGAGGGAGTACAGGGTGAGGGATGCTAAGGCGTTTTCTATGCTTTTCCCAGTTAGCTCTGAACCTCATTTGCTCTTTGCACTATGGTTATACCACTTCACGGATAAGGGGAAAAAGAGATAGTACTAGTCTTCACTGGAGCAAAGATATCCTGCCCTCATGGAGCACACATTCTAGTAGGAGCAGACAGGTGACAAATAGAAAAAGTTTAATAAGTTAATGATATAGTATATATAGTGATGGTTGGTGCTCGCTATAAAAATAAGGCAGGCAAGGGATATAAAGGATGTCAGAGTTCAATTATAAGTAAGGTAGTCAGGGAAGCCTTGTTGAGAAGATGTCATTTGGACAGAGACCTGAAGGAAAGGAGGGGGTGAGTACTTGGAGTCAGTCAGAGGATTAGTTAACAGAGGAGCTCTGCCTCACTCCACGTGCTGCTCCCTCTTGGCTACTCTGCCCAGCTTCCAGACACTCTCCACCTGTGCCCCACATTGCCTGGCCTTTTTGGAGTACTTGATATCCTGGCTTCTTGACATTTACAGAGACAGTGGGCTCTCTAGCCTCTGCCCCAAAGTCCTGGATTCCACCTGGTTCCCTCTGCTTCCTCCAAGGGACTGGTACGTTTTGGGCCCAGTCTTTTTCCAGCAGACTAGTGGACTGTGATCATGCCACCTGGATGCCTCAGGTATCTGGGCTATGGTTCATGCTTTGGAAAGATTGGCTGGCCAAGTCTTTGAAAGCCTTTTTAAAGGTCAAGGGTGGGAAAAACCCTGTCTCGTGGCCTCTGGGCACTGATAGTGCCAGAGAGGCTGGGGGCTGAATAAATGCTAGCTTGGAACATTCCAACTCTAGCCTCTCAAAGGGGCCTCTCACCATGTTGTCCTAAAAAGTTTTAGCTGGAATTGCTTGTCCTTTTCTCTGGAAGGATTTGGACGAAACTGGCAGTGCCAAGCAGATATACTTCCCAGGGCAAAAAGACCTTCTTCTTTTTTTTTTTTTTTTTTTTAAAGAAAGGGTCTTGCTCTGTCGCCCAGGCTTGAGTGCAGTGGCGCAAGCATGGCTTAATGCAGTCTCGATATCCTGGGCTCAAGTGATCCTCCCACCTCAGCCTCCTGAGTAGCTGGGACCACCAGTGCATGCCACCATTCCCAGCTAATTTTTTTTAACATGAGACAGTCTCGTTATGTTGCCCAGACTGGTCTTGAACTCCTGGGCTCAAGTGATCTTCCTGCCTCATCCTCCCAAAGTGCTAGGATTACAGGTATAAGCCACCATGCCCAGCCGAAAAGACCCTCTTCTGAACCACCTATCTGTGCAAGTCATGAGGTTGGGGAGAGCTGGGCCAAGGAGGACCCGTACTGTGCTGGGGGTTAATTGTGGCTTTCTCTTTACCTCTCTGCAGAAGTGTTTCCTGGCTCAGCCCGTAACCCTTCTGGACATCTATACACACTGGCAACAGTAAGTGGTGGGGCCGACAGGGTGGCGTAGGGACACCCAAGCAAATCTGTGGAATAAGCTGGGATACCTGTCTGGTCTAAGATCTGTCCCCAAAGCTCACCGTGGACACCATTGTTGCCTCCAGAAAGCCAGTCACAGCACATGGATGGGGATATCTGGTAGTGAGAGGGGACATTGAGAGCTGTGATATTTTAAGAACAAGAGCTTCTAACCAGCTTGTTTATTCAGTTGATCAGCATTTATTGATTACCGCCTGAAAGCCAAGTCCTGTTCTTACTTAGTATGCATATATTGTCACAAGTGAGACAGACATGGTTCCTTCTTTCCTGTAGCTGACGTTGTAGTCAAGAAGGTAGGCATGAGCCAAAGAAGGAAACAAATAAATGTAAAATTACAGTAGTTGTAAGGATTACAAGAGAGAAGAACCTGTTGCCACAGCCACATAAATGGGTAAGCCTGGCTTCATTTGGAGGTCCACGGGAAGCTTCCCTGAGATGATCTTTGACTTGAGAGCTGCAGGAATTGGGAGAGTGAGCTATGCCGTAGGTACTATGCAGTAGGTACTTGCCAGCGGAAATTGCTAATGCTGAGTCCTGTGGCTGGTGGACAGTACAGGTGAGGCTAGATTATCGCATGGATAGCCATGTGAGGCCTGGTTATCCATGGTGAGGAATTTTGTCTTTACCCAAGAGCAGCTGGGGCCATGGCAGGGTGAGAAAGTCAGGTGACTGCTCTGCACTATGGTGAGACTAGTCGGACACCGTCATCCAGGCAAGAACTGATGGGGCTTGAGACAGGGGTAACAGGGTAGACAGTGGATTCCAAGAGTCACAGGGATGAAACCAGGGCCCATGGATGGATGGGAGAGGAAGTATCTGATTGACTTCATGTCTGGCTTATGTACCCATGCATAGAGCTTGAAGGGAAACCAGTTTGGGGGGAAAAATTTCAATGACATGTTGAGTGTGAGATGCCTTTTAAACATGTAAAACTTAAGTTCTCTTCAAGGATGGGGGACTCATCCAAGGATGTGTCAACAGAGGAATGGCTCAAAAATGGACAGAGTAATTGTGTTCTCTTCGGGCACTGGCCTGACCGCAGCTGAATAAGGGAGTGAAGGACGTGAAGATATATCCCATGAGGAATGGCACAGAGTATAGAATTGCCTTAGATGAAAAGGAGGCAGGTGAGGGATGTGAGGGACCGCTGCACACCTTTGAGGACCAAGAATAGTGCATTCTCTGAGGCCCTGGAGATAGAAGTGGGCCCCAAATGGACCTGCTTTAGGAAGACAGGTTTCAGCTTCTGAATATAAGGACTTGATCATCAGAGCTGTCTAAAAATGAGGTAGGCTACAGTGGAGGTGGTGAGCTCCCTGCCATTAGAGGTGTGTAAACAAAGGCAGGAATGGTGTGGAAGGGATTACAGCCTCTAGTAGAGAGCTAAGATCATTGAAAACCCTTCCAGCCCTCAGTTCTTGGCTGTCTTCTGCTGCTGAGGAGGGCTTAGAGCACAGGGCCTCTCTGACTTGCCCAGGTGTGTGGGCGTTACTCATAGTACTTCCCTTCCCCAAAAAACTGCTTCAGTGAGCTGTTCTGTACACCCTTCCCCGCCACTGGCCCCTTCTATGGGTGAGGGGTGCTGAGTGGGACAAGGACCTCACACCCACCACAAAAAACTGGATGTGGCCGGGCGCGGTGGTTCAAGCCTGTAATCCCAGCACTTTGGGAGGCCGAGGCGGGTGGATCACGAGGTCAAGAGATCAAGACCATCCTGGTCAACATGGTGAAACCCTGTCTCTACTAAAAATATAAAAAATTAGCTGGGCATGGTGGCACGTGCCTGTAATCCCAGCTACTCAGGAGGCTGAGGCAGGAGAATTGCCTGAACCTAGGAGGCGGAGGTTGCGGTGAGCCGAGATCGGGCCATTGCACTCCAGCCTGGGTAACAAGAGCGAAACTCCGTCTCAAAAACAAAAAAAAAAAAACAAAAAAAAACTGGATGTACAGAACAGCTCACTGAAGCAGCCTAGCCGCGCAACTCCTGGCAGAGTTCAAATCCAGCAACTAGCTGTATAGCCTTGAGTGGGTTTCTTGGCCTCTGTGAGTCTGTGTCTTCATCTATAAAATGGAAATAATGATAGCAATGATCTCATTGCATTATGAGGGTTAGACACAGTGGTCTATATAAAGTACTAAAACTACTGATTGGAGACTTTCCCTCCTGCCTCAGTATTTATTGAGCACCTGCTACAACCTAGGCAATATTCTTGGTGTAGCTGGGAACAAACCAGAGAAAAATTCCATGCTCAACATTTTTCTTGGGGGAAAAGAGGCAGAATAAATTGATACATGTTAAAACGAAACCTGTTTTTAACATGTGAATCCTGACAAGTGGCTTTCCTGGGAACAAGGAACCCAAGCAGCATATCCCAAGCTATGACAGAACAGTGTCCATTGCAGCTGGGAAACCTGAGGCCTAGACAGTGACTCCCTGGGATGGGGGTCAATGGGGGTGACACTTGCAAGTCCAGGGGCTCAGCCATCTAGGTGCGTATCCTACCCATGCCCAGACTTTCTTTGCCCTGAGCAAGTCACTTAGTTGTGTAGTTTTTGAGACCTTTGCTAGACACTGAGGATGCTGTAGTGAGCTGTCATTTGCCCCCGTCCCTGGGTCTTTCTGTGTAGGAGAGGAGTCTAGGAAGTAAGTAAAATAATAGGAGATAGAGAAAAGCTCTGAAGAAAACGAAACAGGATGACAGGGCAGAGCGTGCCTTGGCGGGGGGCGGGGGCGGGGGAGGCAGTCATCGAGGACCTCTCTGGGGAGGTTACATTGAAGTTGAGACATGAAGGACAAGGATGTGGGCAGTCTTCCCAGAAGGCACAGCACACACAGCACGTTCTGCAGGAGGAAGCGCCTGGGTGGTTCTGTGAGGTGCCTGCATGGGTCAGTTCCTATCACAGAGACTGGTAGCTGCTGCAGCTGTTGTATAACATTATCCAGCATTCCTGATTATTTTAAAGACTAATCAAGAATTGTAAAAGCACTTTGTGAATTGAGTGAAAATGCGGAGTACAAAATTGTCTATACGGTGTTTTCACCAGTTTACATTCCATGCACGTTGCCATTAAGAGCTAGAAGGATGCGGGAAGGTCTGTGTAGTCAAATCTTGTGGAGCTATTCTGTCTCCCAGTTGGTATAGACAGTCAACCTTGCCCTGCAGAACCTCAGAGCTTGGCCGGAAGCGGAAGGCAGAGGAAGATGCGGCACTACAAGCTAAGAAGACCCGTGTGTCGGACCCCATTAGCACCTCAGAGAGCTCGGAAGAGGAAGAGGAGGCAGAAGCTGAAACCACCAAAGCCAGTAAGAGCCTTGCAGCTTTGGGAACAGGCTATGGAATATTGATTGTTCTAGGGTAGAATCTACCTCCAGCTTCTTCTCTTATCACTAGAAGACCTAAAAGATCTTGGGAAGAAGGTTGGGAGGGCACCATGTGTCTATTACAGTATTTATTTCAGCCCTTCCTCTGTGCCAGGCATTGTATCTCCAGGCTCTAGGGATGCAAGGCCGAACCAAAACAACCAGATGGCCCCTTCAGTTTCATTTGGTGTACATACAGTGGGGCCCGGGAGCTGCCCTGTTACAGGCTCCCAGGTGATTCTTACTAGCTGGAAAGAAGACACATGTTCAGAAGTAGTGCTGTAGGGGTTTCAGAAGGCAGCTAGTGGACACCTTTTCTGTGTGGCCTGTGGGATGCTTCAGGAATTGCTGATCTTGGTGTTCTTTTCGGATTGTACCCATTAGTACTGGAAGGCTGTACTGGGCACTGGTTTTACACCATTTGCAGGAGTAACTCAGTCAAAGCTTTACAGCCCCTTCTTCCCCCCAGTTCCCAGGGCTCCTTGTGCTTTCCCCAACAGCAGCCATAACTCTACAGAGGAATTGCTGTGTCTCCTGTGCATTGTATTATCTTTTTTTGCTTACGTTGAAGACAAATCTCTTAATATTTATTTTTTATTTTTCAAGATGAGGTCTCGTCATGTTGCTCAGACTGGTCTTCATTTCCTGAGCTCAAGCAGTCCTCCTGCCTTAGCCTCTTGAGTAGCTGGAATTACATGCACATACCACCATACCCAGCTTCCTAAGCCGACTTGTAAAGATGTTTGAGATCATACTGGATATATATTTTATTATTATTTTTTTGAGATGGAGTTTTACTTTTGTCACCCAGACTGGCGTGCAGTGGCACGATGTTAACTCAGAGCAACCTCCACCTCCTAGGTTCAAGTGATTCTCCTGCCTCAGCCTCCCGAGTAGCTGGGACTACAGGCATGTACCACTATGTCTGGCTAATTTTGTGGGTTTTTGTTTTTTTTTTGTTTGTTTTTTTTAAAGAAGAGATGGGGTTTCATGATGTTGGCAAACTCCTGACCTCAGGTGATCCACCCACGTTGGCCTCCCAAAGTGCTGGGAGGCGTGAGCCACCACGCCCTGGATATATATATATATATATATATATATATATATATATAGCTTAATTTTATATTATAAATGCAAAACGAGTTTACTTTGAGCTGTTCAAGAGCATATATAAGAAAAATGAACGTTTTCTTGTTCTCCTACCCTGCTCCCATCATTCCTAAGTGCATCTCCTGGTAGGTAGCCTTTAAAACTTCCTCCTTTGCCTCTGTGGTCATTCAGACATGTATTCATACATGCATATATACAGACCTGCATGCTGCTTGAAACAGAAATGGTAAAACATCGTACTGATTGGCTATTTGGTATTAATCAATTTTATAAGCTGTGATAATGGAACTGTAATTACACTTTTTTTTGTTTGGGGCTTTTTTCTTTCTTTCTTTTTTTGAGATAAGGTCTTGCTGTGTTGCCTAGGCTGACCTTGAACTCCTGCCCTCAAGTGGTCCTCCTGCCTCAGCCTCCTGAGTACGTAATTTTATATATATATTTTTTAGACGGAGTCTCACACTGTCACCCAGGCTATAGCAGTGGCGCAATCTTGGCTCATTGCAATATCTGCCTCCTGGGTTCAAGCAATTCTCCTGCCTCAGCCTCCCGAGTAGCTAGGACTACAGGCGTGCACCACCATGCCCAACTAATTTTTTTGTATTTTTAGTAGAGCCTGGGTTTCACCATTTGGCCAGGATGGTCTCAATCTCCTCACCTCATGATCAACCCGCCTTGGCCTCCCAAAGTGCTGGAATTACAGGTGTGAGCCCAGCGCACCTGGCCGTAATTATATTTTTTAGAAAGTCCCCATTGGGGTGGGCCTGGTGGCTCAACCCTGTAATCTCAGCACTTTGGGAGGCCAAGGTGGAAGGATCACTTGAGCCCAGGAGTTAGAGACCAGCCTGGGCAACATAGCAAAACCCTGTCTCTACAAAAAAAATTAAAGATTAGCCAGGCATGGCGGCATGCACCTGTAGTTTCAGCTGCGTGGGAGGCCTGAGGTAGGAGGATTACTTGAGGCAAGGAAGTCAAGGCTGCAGTGAGCCATGACCATGCCACTGCACTCCAGCCTGGGCGACAGACCAAGAGTGTCTCAAAAAAAAAGAAGAGTCCTCATTGGCATCTTAGGCAAAATGGTGAGACTTCGTCTCTGTGAAAAATAAGAAAATTAGCTGGCATGGGGGCATGCAGTGGTAGTCCCAGCTATTTGAGAGGCTGAGGTAGGAGGAGCATGTGAGCCCAGGCATTGGAGGTTGCAGTGAGCTATGAATGTGCCACTGTACTCCAGCCTGGGCAGCAGAGCAAGACCCTGTCTCAAAAAGGAGAAAAAAAAAAAAAAGAGTCCTCATTGAGAGAAACATGCTGAAGTATTTGGGCAACATGATAGGATATCAGGCATTTTCTTCAAAATAATGCTTTGGGGAAGGATGGATTAGATAATAGAAGAGATGAGAAGTTGCTAATGGTTGGAGCTGCCTGGTTCTTCCTGTCTACTTATGAATGTTTTTAAAATTTTCCATAATTATAAAAAGAGAGAGATGGAGTGAAGTGCCAGGAAAAGAATTAGATCATGCTATTCATCTCAGCAACATTCTCCTTAACAATAAGAAATCTAAGATTTAAGGAGATAATACCCTGGTATAAAAGCACTGAGAATCAGTGAATGTCAATATGTAACAAGGCCCAGGTGGCATGGTTCAGTTACCTCTCCACTAAGAAGCCATTTGAATTCCAGGCAACTTTCTCTGTGGACCTGGGGCTGGCTGCCTTCCTGAGCAGCTTTCAGGGCTACAGTGTGGTAGTCTGTGTGAATGGTACCCACTGCAGTGTGCAGTGTCTTCTAGTCAGTCCTTTTCCTTCCAGGGGTCTCAACATCTCATGCTGCAGGGGAGTTGGGAATCCATCAGGGATGCAGACACGTAGCTTCATGTTACCATCCTCTTCTCTCTTGCTCCTGGTAGACCTGGCTGATGCATCACAGCGCTCATTCCCACAAGTCTGGGCTTAGCGTCAGATCCTCATGCCAGCACCAGGCAGCCAATACCAATTGAATTGTTAGGTGAGATGAAACCTGTTTGCCATTCAGAGATGAGAAAAGCTCATCTGGCTCCTTTAGCAGATATTTGTTTCTTGCAGCCCCAAGACCACCATCTACCAACTCCTCAGTCATGGGGGCGGACTTGACATCAAGCATGAAAGAGAAAGCCAAGGTGAGTGGGACTGCCTTTTAAGCTGTTGCCTATGGGATTTAAAGTGCCTGGTAGGGGATAGTCTCCTGTGTCAGAGAAGGACAGGGCTTGAGTAATTGCCCTACCTGGATTCAGATCTCAACCTGTGTCCCCAGTTGTGGGATCTTAGTGAGTCCCTTCACCTCTCTGGGCCTCAGTTTACTTTTCTATAAGATGAGGCTGATGCCTGCTGCCGTGGGCCGCTGAGCACATTCTACATCTAGGATAGGCAATTTCTTTCCTCTTTCAACCCTGGATTCACCTTTCACTCAACAGAGCTTGACTAATAGCTGTTACTTTCCAGGCACTGTGCTAGGTGTGGAGGCACTGTAGTGCTCAAGACACCTGTGATTCTGAAACTCTAAAAGCATTTTCCAAACTAGAAACTGCACAGAAAACAGGATGCCATTTTCTAATAATCCAGAAAGCAGAGTTAGAGACATACATGTATAAAGAATTGTGCCTCTGCAATTGCCTGGAGCATTAGCAACAGGATCGCAAAGTAATATGAAATAATGGTAAGATCAACAAACTGCTACTCAACAGTTAGTAAATAACTACCATGTCCCAAGAACTGTGATTCTGTTCTCTCAACACCTCTGGCGAGAGGAGGTACTGTTCTTAGCCTCACTTTATTTATTTATTTATTTTTATTTTTATTTTTTTAAGACAGGGTTTTACCATGTTGGTCAGGCTGGTCTTGAACTCCCGACCTCAGGTGATCCGCCCGCCTTGGCCTCCAAAGTGCTTGGATTACACGTGTGAGCCTCACTTTAAAGATGAGGAAACAGATTTAAGGGGTAGTTTACCCAAACTCATATAGCTAGGAAGTGGTAGGATAGGGCTCAGATGGAAGTGGCCTGTGCTCTTCGTTCACCATGCCATACCAGTTGTGTCTGCCACTCTTGTTCTCTGTAGGCAGAGACAGAGAAAGCCAGCAAGACTGGGAACTCCATGCCACACCCTGCCACTGGGAAGATGGTGGCCCACCTTCTCTCTGGGAAGTCTCCCAGGAAGTCAGTAGAGCCCTCAGCAAATACTAAGTTGGTCTCTGAAACCAAGGAAGAGGTCAGCATCCCGGCTTTTGGAGCTGCTGCCAAGCCTGGTAAGAAGCCCCCACCTCTAGGAACCAAGTCCCCAGAGCTTGGGCTGGTAAGGCAGGCCTAGGCATCGCTTTGTTGAGTTCTGGGACATTTCTGGAATTCAAAGGTTTGTCTCCATGACAGCCAGGTTCATTTTCCCTTGCCCTAGATGAGGGAGGGTCAGCTAAGGGACCTGCCCTCAGGCTGAACAGCCCACCTAGTGGTTGAAGCATTTTCTGCTTTATGACTCCCTGGTGAGTTACAGGGGCCATTGGCAACTCAGAGACTAAACTGAAAGGCCTGGGTTTGCTTCCATTTCCTGTGTAGAGTAGACATCTCTCCAGCCTGCATCAGTGGTCATGATGGTGGATGGAGGACCCACAGACCGTCAGGTGCTGGTGTATGTTTGTTGGGTCCCCTCGCAGCCCTTTCCTGGGCTTCAGAGATGTGTGGGAACATAGGAATCATGATGGTACCCACTTCAGAAGGGGGCTTCACAGTGTATGTGAGGGGGGAGCGCTCAGTACCTGGCTTTGATGAGCAGCTGGTTTGCAGGGAGGGGCTGGGGAGGGGAAGGTGAGGCTGGAAAGGGAGTCCCTCAGTCCCCTCCATGTCCATCTCTCAGGGATGGTGTCAGCGGGCCAGGCCGACAGCTCCAGCGAGGACACCTCCAGCTCCAGCGATGAGACAGATGTGGAGGTAATTGCCACCCATCCCTAGAGGTTACCCTCTCCCAGACTCTAACCCTCCCAGGAACCTGGCTAGGGCTTCAGAGACCAGTGGGCCTAAATCAGTTCAGCAACTATGGCAGGGTGACCGGGAGCTGGAAAGGCTACGCAGGCGTCCCCAAACTGAGGCCCCCTGAGGCCATTTATCCGGCCCCCCGCCGCACTTCAGGAAGGGGCACCTCTTTCATGGGTGGTCAGTGAGAGGAGCACAGTATGTGGCGGCCCTCCAACGGTCTGAGGACAGTGAACTGGCCCCTTGTGTAAAAAGTTTGGGGACACCTGGGCTATAGCCAGGAGGGGCAGGGAGAGGAGCCTGGTGCTACTTGCTGCACTCTGAGTGTGAGAACAGCCCCAGGGGTGGGAGAGGGACACTCTCCTGCCTGTGAAACTAGACAAGGCCTCCTGGCAGAGGTGTCCTGGAGCAGGGCCTCAAAACACAGTGGGCTTTACTGGGAAGGAGTATGGAGGAGGTAGGGCATTCCAGACAGGAAGTGGGGCAAGAGCAGGGCCCGGGGCAACCGTGTGGCTATCATGTGGTATGGCTAGGGCTGCAGCTGCTGAGAGGGTTCTGGGCCTACTGGTGAATGCCAGGCCTAGACACTTGGCTACACTTGGGCAGGACTCTTGGGTCTGTGAACTTTGACCTGGAAAAATTCCCCCAGGTTACTTTTTATTGTGTACCAGGGTATCCACAGTTAGAAAGATGTTTTAGAGGGAGAACCAGCAAGAGTCAGGGATGAACTGTTCTGGGCCCAGGGAACTTTTTACTTTACTGTGCTGCCTGCCCAGTAACCCTGTGAAGGCTGAAGCTCATCCCATCTACTCCAGGCCTGGCCAAGGGCCTCCCTCCATCTTTCATCCTCACCTTTGGGCCCTAGATACCTTCAGCCATAAGGACACCCCTGGCCTTGCCAAAGGAAAGGAGACCACTCCCAGCCCTCCATAAACACGCAACCTCAATGGGCTGAAAGCTATGCAGAGCTCCAGTAGCAGATGCCCCAGAAACCCAGGGCCGCAAGGGGTCTGATGGATTTTGGAGATGGAAGTAGGGCACTGATTGCCTAGGAAATGTGTGAATTGTGGCAGTCTAGGAAAGATCTCACAGAATGAAGGAATTTGCCCAAGGTGTCCAGCAAGCCAGGGGCAGGGGTGGTGTTCACATCTTGAACTCCTGGCTCTCAGGATGGGTACTATAATCAGATACTTGAGTTTAAGGGCAGACAGGATGAGCTCTCCTGATTGAGAGAGGTGGCCCCTCTCTTAGGCTGAGACCTGTGTGTGCCAGCTGGGAGACATTCATAATGGTTTCGAGATCTGTCCCAAAGTCAGACAGTCCGGGGTTCCAGTGGGTGCTCTGCCCCTTCATACTGATCATGAGTGATTTTACCTCTTTAAGCTTCTTGTACTTTTCTGGAAAATGGGTCTAAAGCTAATAACTGTCTCAGGGAGTTGCTTAAAAATCCTGTGACGTTAGGAAAGAGCTTTATCAACTGTTGAAGCACCTGATATAAAAGCTTAGGGGAAACAGTTATTCTATCATTCATTTTCTAATATCCTCCTCTTCCAGGGGAAACCCTCAGTAAAACCAGCCCAGGTCAAAGCCTCAGTTTCTACCAAGGAATCTCCAGCAAGAAAGGCAGTCCTAGCCCTTGGAAAGGTGGGGGATGTGACACCCCAAGTCAGAGAAGGGGCCTTGCCCCCATCCAGGAGGGCCAAGAAGCCGGAAGAGGAGTCAGAGAGTAGTGAGGAGGGGTCTGAAAGCGAGGAGGAGGCCCCTGCAAGGACACCAAGCCAGGTGAGCCCCAGAGGAGGGCTGCGTCTTGGAGGGTCCTGTGGGTCCCCCAGCAGCCTGAGTGCTCTCCCATGAGCACCTCTGCCACTGGAGTTGGGGAGAGGGAGGGTGGTCGTGTGAAGTTGAAGAGCAAGAACAGCCTGCTTCCTGCAGGGCAGTCCTGTACTCTACTTTGTCTGTGACCAACTTTGCCTCAGTTTCTCTGACTAGTAGATGGGCTGCTGTCCTTGTCCCAGCCAGTCCTGCTGTGAGGGACTTGAGAAGTTTTGATTGCCTGGTCCTCTGGCTTCTCAGGACAAATTAGACCCTGAGCATGCAAATACCACATTGGCTAAAGGGAATCCAGTTCCCTTCCTGTTCTGGGAGCTGTCCGTTGGGTAGTGGGCAGGGTTGCAGCCTCAAGGCTCTGGGTGTATCCCAAGGGCAAGTGAAAGCAATGGAAGTCAGAGCAGGAAGGAGGAAGAGTGAGGGTCACCTACCCAACCTCATGCCTGGAGCAGGACAAGGCGGAAGCATGCAGTAGATAAGTAGGTCCCTGTGTTAGCTGCTGGTAAATGGTAAAGAGGAAAACGGGCTGGGAGACATAGGAATGGCAACTTAAAACAGTGCTCAGGGCTGACCTCGGGAGAAGGCGTCTCAGTGAAGACCCGAAGGAGGAAGCACTCTTAGGAAAGTCAATCCAGGCAGCAAGTGCCAAGGCCCTGAGGTGGCAGTAGGACTAGGAATTGGGACAAGTTGATGTTTCCACCCTATCTACAGGGAGCTTTGACTCCTCGGCTCAGTCAGCTTTGCAGTGCCTGGGGGCTACCAAGTGTTGCAAGGGTATCCATCTTTGAGAAGGAACACAAATGTGAATTCTTTTTTTGAGACAGAGTCTCACTCTCTTGCCCAAGCTAGAATGCAGTGGCGGCAATCATAGCTCACTGCAGCTTCTCTCCTGAGTGGCTGGGAATATAGGCACACACGTCCACACCCAACCCAACTTGTGTGTGTGTGTAGACAGGGTTTCACAGGCTGTGGGCTCAAGCAGTCCTCCCACCTTGGCCTCCCCAGGTACTGAGATTACAGGTATTAGCCACTGCACCTGGCCATAAATGTGAACTTTTATGTAAAATCCTTCTTCATGTTGGCTCAAAAATTTAAAAAAGAGCTAGCCAAGCAAGGCCTGTCTGGAGCAGCCTGCACTTTCTACATGGGAAGGTTCTTCGATCAGAGCTGCTGTTTTCTGGGGTTGTTGGCCCAGGGCTGAGCACCCAGGGCCTGCAGCCACCCTACCAAAGCCCAAAGGCAGTACAGAGCCCACAGAGGAAGGGGGGGCATGGGTGGAAACCTTGCCCCATGAGGCTGATGATGGGCTTTCCAGGGGTTCTGCTGCTGTCCACATGCATGAAGTCCAGCAAGGGCCTCCTCAGTCCCATCCCCATTTTCAGACAGCCTCTCCATTCCTCCCATGCTTCCCTAGGCCTTTGCACACCCCCTCCCCACAGCCCAGTTAGATGATGCTCCCGACAAGCCAGTGCGTATGCCTTCAGAGCTCTCTGGCCAGTGGGAACCCAGTAGGGGACAGGTTGTAACAAACCAATGTGCTGGGGCAGCCCAGGGGCATCAGGGAGAACCATGTTGAGGAAGTGTGTCTCTTAGGGAGCCAGAGGCTAAGGAGGCAGTGGCCAAGTGAAATGGAACAGGGGGCATGAAGGTTCCAGCGGTGAGAGAGTGTGGAGCTAATTAATTTTTGAGAAACCAGGAGGCCAGTGTGGCCGAAGTGTCAGTCAAGGTGGGAGTGGGGACAGAAACAGGAGGGTCTTAGGAGCCTTTAAGGTCTCTGGACTTTATCCTGAAGACATCACCAGAGAATTTTCACAAGCAAGGGAACAAACTTCTTTTTTCACTAGGTAAAGGCCTCTGAGAAAATCACCCAGGTCAGAACTGCCTCTGCCCTTCCCAAGGGGACCCCTGGGAAAGTGGCTGCCCCAGCACCCCCTGGGAAGGCAGGGCCTACAGCCCCCCAGGCCAAGGCAGGGAAGCCGGAGGAGGACTCAGAGAGCAGCAGCGAGGAGTCATCTGACAGTGAGGAGGAGACGTCAGCTGCCAAGGTCCTGCTGCAGGTGAGGAGGAGGGAGACCCCATGCCGCCAGGCCCCTCCCCAGAAGGCCTTCTCGGGACCTTTTCTCCCGTTCAGGCACGCCTCAGACTCCAGCCACGTACTCCCCTCACTGTGGCAACATGTGCCCTATCTCGTCTTCTGTACCTAGTGTCCTTCCTGTGTCTCCTCACACGTTTGTCCTCTGAGCTGTGTTCCCTTGTTTCTCCATGTGAAGGCCTCAGCAAAAACCCCTCAGGTCAAGGCTGCCTCAGCCCCTGCCAAGGAGTCCCCCAGGAAAGGAGCTGCTCCAGCGCCTCCTGGGAAGATGGGGCCTGCAGCTGCCAAGGCCCAGGCGGTGAAGCGGGAGGAGGACTCGGAGAGCAGCAGCGAGGAGTCAGACAGTGAAGAGGAGGCGCCTGCTCAGGTGAGGTGGGGGGAGGGATGGAGAGCAGCCACCTGCCTGGGCCCCAGCACCTGCATGAGTGTGGCCACCTTTGCTACATCCTGCTCCTGTCTCCCCACACATCCACCCTCCAGGCTCTCTCCCCTCATCCTGATTCTCCCTCCAGGCGAAGCCTTCAGGGAAGACCCCCCAGGTCAGAGCTGCCTTGGCCCCTGCCAAGGAGTCCCCCAGGAAAGGGGCTGCCCCGACGCCCCCTGGGAAGACAGGGCCTGCCCCAACACCTCCTCGGAAGACAGGGCCTGCAGCCGCCCAGGCCCAGGCGGCGAAGCGGGAGGAGGACTCTGGGAGCAGCAGTGAGGAGTCGGACAGTGACGAGGAGGCACCTGCAGCCATGAGCACAGCTCAGGTGAGGCTGGAAGCTGCCCTGCACGGCCTGTGCCCTTCGGAAAGGCCCCCTGAAGGCTTGCCTTTTCCTCTCTGAACCTAGAGCCTTGTGCAGCTGGCTTCATTTCCCCTCATCGCACCTGGGTCTTCACTCACTTTCTCCTTCTGGACTCCCTCCCTGATCTTGTCCTGTGTGCCTTCCAGGTGAAGCCCTTGGGGAAAAACCCCCAGGTGAGACCTGCCTCCACCGTGGGCACGGGGCCCTTGGGGAAAGGCGCCGGCCCAGTGCCACCTGGGAAGGTGGGGAAGAGGGAGGAGGACTCAGAGAGCAGCAGTGAGGAGTCATCAGACAGTGATGATGGAGAGGTGCCCAGAGCTGTGGCCCCAGCTCAGGTGAGGCCCCTTTCTGTAAGGCTCTTTTCTCCCCTCAGAGTGATGCCACCTGTGGGCCTCCCAGCCTCACACTTGGACTCTGCCATCTTGGTCTTTTTGAGACAAGAGTGTTGCTCTGTTGCCAGGCTGGAGAGCAGTGGCGCCATCTCGACTTACTGCAACCTCCGCCTCCCAGGTTCAAGCAGTTCTCCTGCCTCAGCCTCCCGAGAGTAGCTGGGACTACAGGCTCCCACCACCTAGCCCAGCTAATTTTTTTATTTTGTAGTAGAGACGGGGTTTCACCATGTTGGCCAGGATGGTCTCAATCTCTTGATATCATGATCGGCCCACCTCGCCTCCCAAAGTGCTAGGGTTACAGGCCTGAGCCACTGCACCCGACCCTTGGTCTCTTAATATCTGTACACACTCTGGGCTCCCCGTCCTGATCCTGTGTATCTCACTCCAGGAAAAGTCCTTGGGGAAAATCCTCCAGGCTAAACCTGCCTCAGGTCCTGCCAAGGGAAGGGGGGCTGCCCCAGTGCCCCCTCAGGAGGCAGGGCCTGTAGCCATCCAGGTCAAGGCTGAAAAGCCCACAGAAGACTCAGAGAGCAGCGAGGAGTCATCAGACAGTGAGAAGGCACCAGCAGCCGTGACTGCAGCTCAGGTGAGGCCTGGGGAAGAAGGCTGCCACATGGCCTGATCTGTCACACCATAATCAGCGCCACGGGAGCTGTGCTCCCTCAGGCAGAGCGTGGGTTCTGGCTGGTGGGGCAGAACAGCAGTGGGAATCCACCTGAGAGCCAACTGGAGACTGAGTTCAGGAACCTTCTCCAGCCTCTCTTTGTGTCCCCTCAGGCAAAACCAGCTCTGAAAGCTCCTCAGACCAAAACCTGCCCAAAGAAAACCAATACCACTGCATCTGCCAAGGCCGCCCCTGTGCAAGTGGGCGCCCGAGCCCCCGGGAAAGCAGGAACTGCGACTTCAGCAGGCTCATCCCCAGCTGTGGCCTGGGGTGCCCAGAGACCAGCAGAGGACTCTTCAAGCAGCGAGGAGTCAGATAGTGAGGAAGAGAAGACAGGTCCTACAGTAACCACGGGACAGGTGAGGCCGTGTTTTCTGGGCGGGCCTCAGGGCCACCCCTACATGGTCCTTTGGACTCCTGGAGACACCTCTCTTCCACTTGTCATCCCAGGCGAAGTCTGTGGGGAAAGGCCTCCAAGCGAAAGCTGCCTCATTGCCTGTCAAGGGGCTTTTGGGGCAAGGGACTACCCCAGTACTCCCTGGGAAGACGCAGCCTTCAGTCACCCAGGTGAAAGCTGAGATGCAAGAAGACTCTGAGAGCAGTGAGGAGGAATCAGACAGTGAGGAGGCAGACGGGACTCCTGCACAGGTGAGGCCTAGAAGGAGCAGGCCTATCCCACCCACACCTGTTCTGAGCCAGGGCTGAGGACGGGCTTGTCTGGGGCTGGTCTTGCCCCAGCGTGTGCAGAAGCCTCGTGTAACCTCAACGCAGCCTCCGTCCCTACCTTTCATTTCATGTGGCCTCTTGGCCATCAGAGCTCCAGGGTCTCTGTCTTGTTTGCCTTCCGAGCTCCCGCTGATTGATTCCCTATGATTTCCACGAGCTCTGGAGTTCCCGCCCTGCCAGATGTTGCCCTGGGCTGGGACTGCTGAGGTCCTGTTCCTCAGGGAAGCCCTGTCTCCATGGAGGTTGGACATGTTCGTCAGCGTGGAGTGATGGGGTTGAGACAGAGGGTATGAGTCTGGGCTGCACACTGTGACAGGTGAGAGCATCTAGGGCTTTTACAGGAGGTGGCAGCATCTGAACCATGGGCTGAAAGAGTTGGGCAGGGAGAGTGTTCCAGGCAGAGGAAGCAGTCTCTGTGAGGCTAGGGGATGGGAGAGTACCTGGGTTGGGTGCCTTACCACAGGCAGCACATTGTGGTGGGATGGATGGCAGGGGTTTAGAGCCAGACCACCTGGATTCAAGTCTCAGCCCCAAGTCCTGGCAAGTGCTGTAAGCCATCAGAGCCTCTGCTTACTCTTCTGTAAACTGGAAATCAGCCCTCACAGGTTTGGGTGAGAATTTAGGTGAGATCTCACCTGCCACACCCAGCAAAGGACCTGCACACAGCAAGCTGTCTCCGTCACCCTGAGGACGGACCAGGCTAATGTGGAGCAGATCAGGAGTGAGGTCTCCCGGCCTGGCAGAGCTGAGAGATGGCTTACTCTCTGCACTTACCCACCCACTGTTTATTGTTCTTAATTGTCGTTCTATTTTTTTCTATAACCACTCAGAAATTAGTCATTTCTTTTTTCTCTGTACCAGAGCACATATGTCTACCAATTTTTTTGTCCCACTGTCATTGTTGATTTGTGGGACCCCAAGTTCCTAGGATTCCTCCACTGAGGTTTTTAGGCTCTGCAGGGGCCCCTTCCAGAGTCTCCTCTTATCTTTCCCAAACTGCAGGCACATTTTAGACCCAATGCCTTACAGAGTTTTATTGTGCAGATCACTTAAATATTTATCTTCCCTTCTGAGCCTCCCACCTGTACCATGAGGTGCCTGTTTTTTTAATTTTTGAACCATGGACTGTTTCAAAGTAAGCTGTTTAATTTCCAAATACCTGGGATTACCCAGGTTTCTTTTTGTTGTTGATTTCTAATTTAATCACATTGTGGTTGGAGAACATATTTTGTATTTCAATCCTTTTTTGTGTATTGAGACTTGTTAGGTCAAGTTAGTCTTTGTGTCTTATTTCTTGTGAAAAACATGACTCCCCTCTGGAGGACTTATGTGCTGTGCTGATGAGCACCTCAGCCTTAGTCATACTTGGTCCACACTGTGGGGAATCTCTTCTTGAAGTCCTGATTCTTCACCTCCCTTGACCTCATGTGTTTGAGGAATTCTGGGGGGTGGGGGTGTTTTCTGAAGCTGACCAGCTACCATCCCTGAGTGAGGCAGGGGCCTTGAGATGCTGCCAGATTCCTCGTTCCGTTTCACATTAGGCTTGCTATCATTCCTGTCAAGGATCTTACTCTGGGAATTCCCCTCTTTCTTGCTCTTCTTCTATTTATTGGAGTCCCTGACAGGCCTTTTGGGGTTCTCTGGATGTCAGTTAAGACTGGGTTAAGCGGCCGGGCGCGGTGGCTCAAGCCTGTAATCCAAGCACTTTGGGAGGCCGAGGCGGGTGGATCACGAGGTCGAGAGATCGAGACCATCCCGGTCAACATAGTGAAACCCCGTCTCTACTAAAAATACAAAAAAAAGACTGGGTTAAGCTGAAGAAAACCTTGAACACCAAGTATCTTGTTCTGCTGTGGCTGCTTGAGCTCCATCACACATCTGAGCCCTGTCAGTACTGGAATGCTCCAGCTACCCTCAGCATTCCATCTATCCTGGAGGAGGAACAGACATGTTTCTGACCTGTTATGGCACTCGACTTAGGTTCCATGAACCAGAATTTAATGATATGGCCACCTAGCTGAAAGAGAGCCTGGAAAACATCTTTGTTTTGGAAAGTCTTGTGCTTAGCTAATGCTAAGGAAGGCATGCACAATGAGTGTGAATGTTTGGAGTGTTTGTTCTGTTCCAGACATCATATTAAACTCTGAGTCTCATATTTCGTCTTCACAATAACCCTATGTAGGTGGGCCTTATTATTATCCCCTCTTGATAGAGGATGGAACTGAGGCCCAGTGAGATCAAGTGATGTGCTCAGGTTCATACAGCTGTTGCATAAAGGAGCCAGAATCCAGACTTGGGCTTGGGCCCCAGCTGTAGAGTCTTTGTTCTTGGCTAGCTGCTTTACTGTATCTCCCCTTCTCCCTGCTTCATTCCCTTTTTTCCACTCAGGTAAAAACCTCAGTAAAAAAAACCCAGGACAAAGCCAACCCGGCTGCTGCCAGAGCATCTTCAGCGAAAGGGACAATTTCAGCTCCTGGAAAAGTTGTCAGTGCAGCTGCTCAAGCCAAACAGAGATCTCCAGCCAAGGCAAGTGAGGTCAGAAATCACAGGAGGTATGGAGGGTTGGGGCAGACAGGAGGACCACTCACTGACCCCAGCCTGGAGAAGGGCCCTGCATGGGCAGGTCACCCACCCAGAGTTGTGCTGTGGTGGGGAGTGGGACCAGAAAGGAATTGCTTTCACCTCCAATACCATTATCCCCCTGCAATTCAGGTAAAGCCACAAGCAAGAAACCCCCAGAACAGTGCCGTCTTGGTGAGGGGCCCAGCATCTGTGCCACCTGTGGGGAAGGCAGTGGCCCAGACAGAGCCAGAGGAGGACTCAGGGAGCAGTGAGGAGGAGTCGGACAGTGAGGAGGAGACGACGGAGATGCCAGCTCAGGTAAGCTGGAGAGGAGTAGGGGGAGAGCATCCCCTACATGGGATGTACCGACCTTTGCCGCATCCGGCTCCTGTTTCCTCACACGATCGCCCTCTGGGCTCTCTCTTCCCTCATCCTATTTCTCACTCCAGATGAAGCCTTCAGGGAAGAGCCCCCAGGTCAGAGCTGCCTTGGTCCCTGCCAAGGAGTCCCCCAGCAAAGGAGCTGGCCTAGCACCTCCTGGGAAGACAGGGCCTTTGACCGCCCAGGCGGGGAGGCAGAAGGATGACTCAGGGAGCAGCAGTGAGGAGTCAGACAGTGACGGGGAGGCACCGGCAGCTGTGACCTCTGCCCAGGTGAGACTTGCCAGGCCTCTGAGCCACCAACACCCACTCCTCAGTTAGAACTGGAGTTTAGAGTGGGGCAGATCACTTGAGGTCAGGGGTTCAAGACCAGTCTGCCAATGTGTTGACACCCCATCTCTACTAAAAATATAAAAATTAGCTGGGCATGGTAGCAGGTGCCTGTAGTCCCAGCTACTTGGGAGTCTAAGGCAGGAGAATCCCTAGAACCTGGGAGGTAGAGGTTGCAGTGACCCGAGATCACCCCATTGCACTCCAGCCTGGGCAGTTGGAGTGAGACTATCTCAAAAAAGAAAAAAAAATAATGAAAAACCAGGGTTAGGCCGGGCACGGCACGGTGGCTCACGCCTGTAATCCCAGCACTTTGGGAGGCCGAGGCAGGTGGATCATGAGGTCAAGAGATCGAGACCATTCTGGTCAACATGGTGAAACCCCGTCTCTACTAAAAATACAGAAATTAGCTGGGCATGGTGGCACACGCCTGAGTCCCAGCTACTCGGGAGGCTGAGGCAGGAGAATTGCTTGAACCCAGGAGGCGGAGGTTGCGGTGAGCCGAGATCGCGACATTGCACTCCAGCCTGGGTAACAAGAGCGAAACTCCGTCTCAAAAAAAAAAAAAAAAAAAAAAAAAAAAAAAAAACAGGGTTTAGGGCCAGGTGAGGAAAAGGAAGGCCAGGTTAAGGCTTAAGGCTCCAGCTTCACCATGTTCTTCTCCCTCTGCTATCGTCCACATCTCCTTAGGTAAAACCTGCTATAAAAACCCCTCAAACCAAGACTTCTCTAGCTAAAAGTGTCCTGGATCTAGATCAAGGTCCAGGTCTCCACCAGCCCCCAGGCTAGGCGAGTATCTCCCATCACGGGATATGAGACCAAGAATCTAAATGCTAGTTATTGTGCATACATTAGTACAAGATGACTGTCCCAGTCAGAGTCCCAAGAAAGCTTGGAGTGTGGCTCTGAGGCCCTGGGGAGATGGAGGAAGTCACATCCCCTAGGTTGGTTTTGGGGGTCTCACATAGGCAGGTGTATCTGCTCAGGCAGGGCTTGTCTAGCTTAGTGTAAAGCCTGGGCCCTGGAGAGTGGGGAGAAAGAAAACCTGGAAGATTCCATAGGTCTGCTTGCAGAAGGCAGCAGGATGGCTACATGCTACAGAAGTATAGGGTGACAGGCTCCAGCACTGACAGGCTCAGATGTGTGATGGAAATGACTGATGCAGGCCTGGCAGAAATGATGGATGTCAGGAGAGACAGTAGATAGTGGTGGCAAGTAGGGCACACTAGGGAGCCCTTGCCCCATCCAGAGGAACAGTTCCTATCAGCTTCAGCCAGTCGTGACTGTGGAAATGTACCCTCTGTGTGGCCACATCTTCCGTTTCTTAAGGGAAGCTGGAAGTCACTGTGCTAGGCCAAGCTCCATAACCTCTTTGATTTCTGTTTTCTTCATGAGTAAAACAAGCACCGAGATGAACACTTCCTAGCCCTAACCTCTGCCTTTGATACACCAAACCAACAATGACTGAGGTGAAAGACATTGGCCCTGCCCTTAAGGTGCTCACGGTCTGTGGGGCAAAACAGGTGACCAGATTATCACAGAGTATGCTGGTGGTGCTGACAGCTGAAATAGGTCACTGAAAGGCCAGAAGAGGAGGGGATGTTTGAGCTGAGCCTGAAGGATGACCAGACACAAAAGTGGAGAGGGGCCTTCAGTGTGTGCTGAAGGGCTGGGCATGAAGGTGCATGGCCACTGAACGCAGTTGTCCTGCAGGCTGCAGGCCCTCCCAGGTACTTCTTACTGGTAGATTAATGGAGGATCTAAAGCCAGATGAAGACATAGGCCCCAGCCATGTTTTGGCCTGTGTAGGTTTTTTTTGTTTTTATGTTTTCAACAAGTTCCTCTATCCATTGGAATGGCCTAAGCTACAGGAGAAAGCCCCATTCAAAAGAACTTAATGGGCCAGTCACGGTGGTTCATGGCTGTAATACCAGCACTTTAGGAGGCGGAGGTGGGCAGATCACATGAGGTCAGGAGTTTGAGACCTGCCTGGCTAACATGGTGAAACCCCATCTCTACTAAAAACAGAAAAATTAGCCGGGCATGTTGGTGGATGCCTGCAATCCCAGCTACTCAGGAGGCCGAGGCAGGAGAATGCTTGAACCTGGGAGGCAGAGGTTGCAGTGAGCCAAGATTGTGCCATTGAACTCCAGGCTCGGTGACAGAGCAAGACTCCATCTTAAAAAAAAAAAAAAAAGCCAACAACAACAACAAAAAAACATTAAAAAGCTCAAATAAGGGGATTAACTGTCTTATAGTGCACAAAGTCCCAGTTTCCAGCTGCTGAGAAGCTGGTTCCTTCAGCTGAGCATCAGTAGTGACCAGATTTCTTCCATCTCTGTGCTCCACCAGCTTCATGGTCATGGCTGGGCTGCAGCATCTCCTAAAGTGCTGGGGGCAGTCCAGGCACAGCGGCTCACACCTGCAATCCCAGCGCTTTGGGAGGCTGAGGCAGGCAGATCACTTGAGGTCAGGAGTTGGAGACAAGCCTGGCCAACATGGCAAAGCCCTGTCTACTAAAAATACATAAAAATTAGCCAGGCGGAATGGTGGTACTGGCCTATAATCCCAGCTACTCGGGAGACCAAGGCAAGAGAATCGCTTGAAGCCAGGGTGGTAGAGGTTGCAGTGAACCAAGATCATGCCACTGCACTCCAGCCTGGGCAACAGGGCGAAGAGAGCAAAACTCCATCTCAAAAGAAAGACTGAGGGTAGACTTAAGGCTCCTCAGACCTCAGGCTGAATATGCTACCCCTTTAGCCATAGACAAGGTGCTGCTAGTTCCCATGACTGGCTGGGAGGTAGGACCACTCTCCCTGAAGCGTGTGGTAGGTGCCACTGAACAGAGTGAAAGTTCTATTAGCAAGGAACACATTGGGGCATGACTTTAGGAGGCAGCCTGCAGTGTGCATCATAGTTGCCCCATTTAAAAATTGGAACTGGCATGTACAGATCTTCTAGCTTCTCTTGAAACTGGAAGCTCAGACAGCCTGGGTGCTACTCTTTTGCTAGGTTGAATAGTGAATGGGAGGACCTCGCCCCAGTAAGGACCACTAAGCTGCCATCACCACCAGCATCTCCACCCTGATCTCTTGAGCCTTCCTCTGCCCTCTGACTGCAGTGCTCACCAGTTCAGCCCCCGTCATCATGTCTGCCATAGCAGGAGGGGATGGTAGCTAGTGGAATACTTCTAGGCAGCTCCTGCTTTTAGGGGGTGTTACAAGCAGAAGTGAAGTGTGCTGGGACCACTGGCTTATGTCTGCAACTTGTCCTAGGCTGCTGTCACCTCTTGTCCACACCCTGGGCTAATAGCCCTACAGCCCTCAGGTTTTAGCTGCATCAAAGTCATATATCCCTTTCAAGTTTGGAGTCAGCTCTGGAAGGAGACTAGCAGGGTGGAAGCATGTTTCCAGTGGCTGTGGCGCAGGTCAGGCCAGCAGCTATCCCTGTGCATGTGCAGGAAGGGGCCAAGCTGCCTTCCCTGGAGACCAGAGTGTCTGAGGGTCATTGCCTGCTGGTTGTTTCCCCTCGGCAGATGTCCTTCTCCCCAACCATGTGCTTATCCAGGTCTTGTCCCCTCAGAAGGATGGTAACTCCAAACCTGCCAGAAGCAAGACCCTGGTCCCAGCACCTCCAAAGAGGAACATGGAGGGGTCCTCAGAGAGCAGTGAGGAAGAGCTGCCACTGACCCAGGTAGGCCATGCCTTCTCTCTCTAGATGCTCCAAGTACAGAGCTGGGCTGGCAGGCCTTGTGGGAGAGGGGGCTTCTTTCCCATTGGGAAAATCTTGCCATACTTGAATAGCACCTCACAGCTTCCAGAGCTCTTTTCTCTATTGTGACATTCATCTGAGCCCTGTGAGGCAAGCAGCAGTGCACAGTTAAACATACAGGCTTCAGAGCTGGGTGGTGTCGGGGGAAGCCTGGCTCTACCACCCACCGGCTCTGTGGTCCTGGGCAGATGCCTTGCCCCTTGTGTGAGGCTCATAAAATGAGGACAGTACCAGTGCCTCTCTCTTTCCTTTGTGTGCTGGTGCCAGCACACAAAGTACTTGCCACAGTCCCCTGACTAAGAAAGGTTGCCTCTTAACTGTGAGGAGGGCAGGAAATGCCCCATTTGACAGATGGGGAATCAAGCCTTAGAGCTGAAGCAGTTTCCCCAAATTCTCATGATTCGTAAGAGGCTGAGGAAAGGTGCAAACACTGGTCCCCTGGCTCCCGACATCTCCCTGTTTCTGTTTAGGACTGGGAGTCTTCTTGAATCCCGTGAGCTTTGCCCAGGACCCTCTCTCAAGTGCCTGTGGCACACCTTCATGCACTCTACTGCACCCAGAGCTTAAGGCACGGTCTTGCCCAGGCTACAGCCCCAAGGGTGGGACCAAGCCCACCTTATCTTCCTGTACAGAGGCCCAAGTCAGCCATGCTGGTGTGGTCCAAGCTTCTGTGTGAACCCTAGCCTTTCCATCAGACACCATTGCCCTTTGTCCTCCTCTAGCCTCAAGCTCCCAGAAGTTTCTGCCAGGCACCTCAGAGCACCTGTTCCCCTCCCAGGGCCTAACTACAGATGTTGGAGTCCTGTAATCTCCAGACCAGAGTGGCCTCCTGAACCATCTCCCCTTGAATATCATATACCACGGTTTTTTTGTTTTTTTTTTTTTTTTTTTTTTGAGGCAGAGTCTTGCTCTGTCACCCAGGCTGGAGTGCAGTGGTGTGACCTTGGCCCACTGCAGCCTCCGCCCCCTGGGTTCAAGCACTTCTCTGCCTCAGCCTCCTGAGTAACTGGGATTATAGGTGTGCACCACCATGCCTGGCTAATTTTTGTATTTTTAGTAAAGATGGGGTTTCCCCATCTTGCCCAGGCTGGTCTTCAACTCCTGATCTCGTGATCCACCTACCTCAGCCTCCCAAAGTGCTGGGATTACAGATGTGAGCCACCACACCATCCTCACATTCTTACCGGTCCATCAATAAGGTCAGATGCTTCTTGCACACCTCCAGCAATAAATAGGGTGCTCACTGCCTCTCTCTCCTCAATAGCACAGATTACAAAAGTAATGAACTACAACTAACATCTGGTAATTCCCTGTGTGGCAGGCACTATGCAGTGCTCTGTATTTGCATTTTTCTGTTTAATTTCCATAACAGCCCCATGAGGGCAGCTCCCTTTGTTACTTGCCTTTTGAGGAACTGGGAATGAGGCTCAGAGAAGTTGAAAGACATGTCCCAGCATCACATGGCTGATGACAAGTGGACAGACCTGCTATTTGAGCCCAAGCTGTTCACACTCTGACCTGATGCCTGGTACTGCTCCAGCACTCCCCTGGTCTTGGGCATTGCCCTCTGGCTCGATGTGGAGCCTTTGTGAGGCCGCCTGACTCTGAGGGATCCAAACAGCTGGGAGGGAGGGGGCCGCTCCGGCTTTCTCTATGGGGGCGGACTAACACAATTAAAATGAACATCATGCTTAAACTGAACCATTTAATTGGTATGTTAGTCCTGAAGATTCTGGAGTCCCTATTTAAAAAGCTGAAGGAAAAGAAGTCAGCAGTTTGTGCATCCCCCCAGGAGGATTCAGGGAAGACAGGCATAGCCTGGGGAAGCTGCTGCCTCTGCCTGACTGAGAGATCTTTAGTTCCTAATCCCTAGTTCACTGATTATGATTATTTTCATTATTGTACATTTACTGAGCACTCTCTATTGATGGGTTTCAGTCTGATTTTATTACTTAGCCCATCAGTGGGGCAGGAGATTGAGGCCAGCGTGGTGGGCAGAGCCCCAGGCTAGGAGGCAGGGATAGAGACTGTGGCTCCCTCCATTCCTAGGCCCCCTCACTATGCCTCCGCCCTTTTGTGCAGAGGACCTCAGGCCAGAGTCTGTGCTGGGGCCTGGAATAGCTTCCAGGTTTAAAAGAAAACAAGTATGTGAGATGATGGATGTTAAATAACTTACTTTAGCTATTCTACAGCGTACATGTGTATCAAAACTTCATGTTATATACCACAAATGTATGCAATTTCATTTGTCAGTAATAAAATTTTTTAAGGCTAACTTGTTCCATTATTTTGTCAAAGAGATGTAAGCCCCACAGAGTTTTAGGTTGAATCAAAGAAAAAAGAAACCTATAAGAAATTAAATTTGAGTGTTAAATTGAGGCCTAGCGTAATTGGTTGTAGAAAGAGCTCCAGTCTGGTGCCTGGAGAACTAACTTCTAATCCTGGCTCTGGCACCAGATTGCTGGTCACCCTGAGTGAGGCCACTTGCCTCCTCTGAGCCTCATTCATCTCAATCCCTGGTATAAGACTTCTTGGGTGGGTGGGGTGGACCTTGAGCTTCCAGGCCATATCCCCGAAGGGTAGAATTTCTCAGTCTCCTGGGATGGGGCTGGCCTTGATCTGTTAACCAACCCCTAGTTAGTTCTGAGAGAGGTTCTTAGAGGAGTAATGCCTTTGTGGTTGTGTCCCCTGCCAACGTCCACAGCCTAGGCCATCAGCCCGCTCTGTGCCCTGGACTTGCTGGAATTGTAGGCACAGTTAGAATGAGCTCAGCTTTGACAGGAGAGGTTGAGCACTGTCCAGAAAGCCCCTGGGTTTGGTTCTGGAGGTGTCAGACCTGCAGGTAGGAAGGGCACCCTTGGGTTCCCTGAGTCCTTACTGCCCACTTCCTACAGGGAGGTGCAACCAAATGTTCAGGCAGTGCTGGTTTTGCTGCTTCACTCCCGTGAGTTTTTTTAAACTGACCCCAGAACTACATTCCTGTGCTTTGCAATTTCCATAGTGCATTAGAACCCCTCCAGTGAATGAATCGAGGCAGAGATTACTACCAGCCCTTTTATTAAACAGGAAACAAGATCACAAAGTACAGGGGCTTGACCACGCAGTGCAGTCATGACAGGTGGAATGAGAAGCGGGTCTTCCCCCACACCCTGCGCAAGCTTCGCTGCCCACCTTTGTGAACTCTACAGACTTGATCCTTGCACTCATATGGTAGGAGTGCAAGGATAATGTACTAGTGCCCTGCCCCAGCCCCCCACAGCCAAGCCCCCTGCACCACCTCCCTCCTACAGCCCAGAGGCCCAGTGGGGTGGCGTGGGCATGTGGAACTAGGAGGAGGCTTTTGCTGCTGAGCTGCTTTTAACATCCCAAGACGCTATTGTTTGCCTCAGTGGGTTCGTTGCTTCTCTTGTCCCCGACAATCTGTTCCTGTCTTCTCACATATATATAGATCCCCCCTCCCTCAACTGTAAGCCTTCTCCCACTTTCCATCCTTCTCTTTTTTATATCGTGGGAAGGCAGGCTCTGGAAGTGGCAGATCAGAGCAGCCATGGGGGAGGCTATTTGGCAGGGGTAGGAAAGGCCTACTAAGCCCAGCGAAGCTTCCACCCTCAGGCAGGCACCTTTCTGTTTTACTTTTTACTTTATGCCTCGCCACAGTACCTTGCACCCTGAGGAGCCAGGTGTGTTAAGTCAGGTTCAGGAGGTAGGCAGGATGGTACAGCAGCTAGAGACCAGTCCTGACCTGACTCTACTCCTTCCTTAGCCGTAGGCAGCTCCCTCCTCCTGCCCTGCAGCTCTTCACTGGCCAGAGAGGGAACAGAGCTCAAACCAGATCTGACATTTAGGGAATGGAATGTAGACCTAATCAGCTCCCTGGCTCACAACTGCGTGTGTTCTCATTAGCTGGGGATTTGGGAAAGAAATGAGCCTAGAGATGCCTTTGTGTGCAGTGAACATGTTCAGGGACGCTGTAATTCAAAACCAGACACTGGCCTGCACAATACCAGGGAACTGCTGTTGCTTGCTTGCTTTTTCTTTTACTGTTTTATTGGAAAATTTAAAGCATATCCAAAGATAGAATAAAGTAAAGAACCCCCACGTGCCATCCCCAGCCTCAACATTAGGAACTCCTGAGCAGGCTCATTTCACGCAAACCCTCCACTCAGTTCCCCACCGCCCCTGGATTACTTTGCGGCCAGTCTCAGACGTGTCAGCTCATCCACCAGGATTTCAGTATGCAGCTCTCAATTATAAGGACTTTCTTTAAAGCACAACTGCAATACAGTGTCACACCTAAAAAGTTGATCTACCCGGTGCCTGTTTCCTCAATCGTCTCATGGAGTTCAGTTAAAGGCCACATACTACATTGAGTTATTAATCCTCTAAGTCTTAAATCTATTGGTTCTTACCCAACCCTTGTTTCTCTTGTACATTTTTTTGTTGAAAAAACTGAGTCGGTATAGCTGGGGAGCTTCATCCTGAGCCACATATCAGGAGGGCTGCATCAGCACTTCTGGGGTGGGGGCAGCTAGACCTCCCCAGGTGAACTGTATATTCTAACTAGGCAGCCCTGGGAAACTGCTTAGACCACCCCCTGCATTCAGCAGGTAACTGTCTCTGAAGCCAGCCAGGGGAAAGAAGGCAGAACTGGACATTCTGGCCTTGGCTTTGCTTCCAGTAGGCACTGTGGTGTTGGGTAGCTCCCTTCCCCTCAGAGCATGTGGTTTTCGCACCTGTACAAGGGAACTGATCCTGCTGACTATGTAGGGCTTCACTGTGAGGGTCAGGTGGGCTCCTGTGAGTTGTGAAGTGCTGTGCTGGGTCTTATCAGATATGTGTGGTGGGAGGGGGCACCCTGGGCAGCTGGATGGCCTCTGTGCCCAGCCGTCCCCGAGCTCTGTGGACCCCTTGCCTTGTGGTGGGAGGGGGCACCCTGGGCAGCTGGATGGCCTCTGTGCCCAGCTGTCCCCGAGCTCTGTGGACCCCCTTGCCTTCCCTAACCCCATCATCTCCTTTCCCTGGCCAAGCCTTTAATCACTGGGGGGGTGTTTTGTTTTTTTTTTCAAGGTGATTAAAACCCCTCTGATTTTTGTCGACCCTAATCGTAGTCCAGCTGGCCCAGCTGCTACCCCCGCACAAGCCCAGGCTGCGAGCACCCCGAGGAAGGCCCGAGCCTCAGAGAGCACAGCTAGGAGTTCCTCCTCTGAGAGCGAGGATGAGGACATGGTCTCCGCTACACAGTGCTTGACTCCTGGTGAGCGCAGCCCCTATGAAGTGGTGGGAGGGGTTACCAGCACTGCCCTGTATTGAGGCCCAGAAGGGACAAGACACTGGCTAAGTCACATAGCAAGGTGTTGGTCAGGAGGGGCTTGGGGCCAGGTCTCTGGGCCCTGCATTTGCCAACCTGATTAGAGCCTGGCTCAGACCTGCAGTTCTGCCAGGGCTTTTTTGTGCCAGCCCCAGGCATGGAACTCAGACCTGTGCTAGAAGCTGCAGGGACCAGGTTCCTACACAGTTTGAAGTAAGAACTCTCTAAAAGTTGACTGAATGTGGAACAGGTAGTCAGGGTGGTAGTGAGCTTCCCATCCTTGGTAGCATGTAAAGTGCGTTAGGCAGTCCCTAAGCCAGAGACATTACAGGGAGAGATTTCATCTTTCAGCAAGTGACAGGACTAATCTGTGATTCTACCAATGACAGCAGGAAAAGAGTTAATGTTGCTATTACTGTTATTATAATACTTTTACAAGGAAATAATACCTGATCCTGATAGGATAATGTAAAAATACAGGCCAGATGCAGTGGCTCACCCTTATAATCCTAGCACTTTGGGAGGCTGAGGCAGGCAGATCACCTGAGCTCAGGAGTTCAAGACCAGCCTGGACAACATGGCAAAACCCCACCTCTACTAAAAATACAAAAAATTAGCCTAGCCGGCATGGTGGCACACTCCTGTAAATCCAGCTACTTGAGAGGCTGAGGCACAAGAATTGCTTGAACCCAGGTGGCAGAAGTTGCAGTGAGCTGAGATTGCACTACTGTACTCCAGCCTGAGCAACAGAGCAAGACTGTTTCAAAAAAAACCACAAAACAAACAAAATGCAGATTATGGCTGGGCATGGTGGCTCACACCTATAATCCCAGCACTTTGGAAGACCAAGGTGGGAAGACCACTTGAGCCCAGGAGTTCAAGAAGCAGCCTGGGCAACATAGAGCCCTATCTCTACAAGTTGTGTGTGTGTGTGTGTGTGTGTGTGTGTGATTTAAAAATAAAAATACAGATTAGCACATAAGAAACTATATCACCTGTAATTCTACTGCCCCAAATAATTACTGTTAACATTTGACAAATGCTAATTTATAAAAACCTAAGGTATACATGTGTTTTTAAAGCGAGACCATACTGTAACGCTCAGTAACCTTTACTGTATATTTTATTACATCAAATTTTTTCATCTTTATTTGTAGCACAATGCCTACTGGCTATAAAGAAGTCCTTCAGGTGGACATGCCACAGTTTGTGTAGCCAGCACCATGTTGGAGGAAGCAGAGGAAATTTGTTTCAGGGTGGAGGGGTGAGGGAGTTGGCTGTTGCAAACAGTGCTTCAAAGAACTTATATGTACCTGGGCCTCTGCAGATAGCCACAGGGACTCTCGGGAGAGACAATTTTAACTGCAAGGAGAGTTATTTGGTACCAGTGCTCTGGCCCATTGCTCAGGAGTGGCAGCCTGGCCAGCTGGGAGGGAGGGGATGAGGAAGCCTGGGGTCACCCCAGAGCAGCCATTTGAGCTCCCTGAGCCTTATCAAATGACATTATATAATGACATCTCTTGCCTGGGAGGCCTGGAGAGGGAAGTAAACAAGCTTCTACCTCTAAGCTCTGAGCACGGCTCTAGGTCCCCAGCACAGGTTGGTAAATTGGGTTATTGCTACTGCCGAGGAGGCTGTGTGGCTTTAGTGCCCTGATGTGCCACCATTTCGCTCCATTTCAGCCATTAGAACCAACGCAGTGACTGTGCCTACCACCCATCCAAGGACAGCTCCCAAAGCCAGCACGGCTAGGGCCAGCAGCAACAAGGAGTACAGTAGGATATCAGATGGCAAGAAACAGGAGGGACCAGCCACTCAGGTACCTGGTGGGCAAGGGAGGGCTATGCAGGCCAATAGGGTGGGGCCCTACTCCCGTGCTTACCTGCGCATGCTGATGGGATGGCTTGCAGTTGCAGTCACTTCTACGCCCCAGAGATAGCAGCCTCATAGCCAGAGGCTTTCTGGTCTCCTGGCTACAGCTCCCGTGTGGCTTCCCAAATCACCTTTGAGTTATGAGGAAGAGTAATCTGAGGACACAGCCTCCTGGCCAAGCAATCCTGTACCTTGAGATTTTTCCAACGTGGTGGGGCTTTTGATTTTTGTTCTTCAGTTTTATAATGCCATGAACAAAAGTTGCCCTTTTTTGGTGTCTGTAATGTGACTGTAGCATTATTCCCAGTCTTCACCATTTTCAGTGCATTTTTATTTGGTCCTTGCCTGAATGTAAAAGCTGGGCAGAGTAGGGTTAATGACTTGTGCATTGTTCAGATCATAAAACTGAGCACACATCCACACCCCCAGGGCTGTAACGTGACCAACATTCAGCAAGGCCAGAACCTGGGTCTTCTGAGACCCAGTTCATTGCTCTTTGGGCCATATCAGTCTGGTTTTTCATCCAATTGAGAGGAAGATGTCCATGACACACTCCGTCCTCTCTTCCTGAGGAGGTGGGCTCGCAAAGTTGGGAATCCCTAGTGTTGGGAGGCTGGTGTGCCACCCACTCCCTGGACTCATCCCTGGACTCCAGGCCAAGAAGAACTGGGAATATGGGTGCTGGATGGGAAGTCGGGCCGTGGTCACTGTGTCCATCACCCAGGCCTAGTGATACTGCAGGAACCAAGGCAGGGACAAGGAGTTCCCAGGCCAGTCAGGGAGTGGTGAGGGGCAGCCATTGAACAAGGGAACCCACATAAAAATTATTCACCAGCTGGTAGGTGAGGAAGCAACATAAACTAGAAAATAGTGGGGTCACCTGCTATAGGAAGGCCTCCCCAAGATGGCAGTGTTTAAGCAGAAGCAGCCAGTCACAGGATAAGCTGGGCCACCCTCCAGGCAGAGAAACTGCAGGTGCCAGAGCCTTTTGGGGAAGTGCTTGGGGATGAGGGAACCTGAGAGGTAGGGACAGCCGGATGAGGAGCTGGGGGAGGGAGAGGAGAGCAGCCAGGCCATGGCAAGGGCCGTGTCACATCTGAGTACTCTCTCAGCAAAGGGCCATGCCCAATTTCCTTCCTAAGTTCTGTCTTCCTGACTGCTGGTGGGTGTAAGAAGTAGAGGTGGCACCGGGGGGCCACCAGGTTGTCCCTAATGAAAGTACAGATTGAGTGGTGGGGTCTAAGCTGCTTCCCTACCCTGGGCTGGGAACTGTCTCCTGCTCTTTGAGAACAATTTAATTAGCTCATAACCCGAAGCCTGCCACCAGTTTTGCTGCCCAGATGGTGGCATTGCCCCTTTGTCCCTCAGTTCCCACTCCAGCCCCCGCACCAGCTAGACAGCATCTGACGAGGGTTTGGCACAGCTGGCATCCCAAGGACTCGTGAGTCTCAGGGCTACCTCTTGCCACCCACAGGTGTTAAAGAAGAACCCAGCTTCCCTCCCACTGACCCAGGCTGCCCTGAAGGTCCTCGCCCAGAAAGCCAGTGAGGCTCAGCCTCCTGTTGCCAGGACCCAACCTTCAAGTGGGGTGAGCTTGGGGAGCAGGGGAAGCAAGCCTGCAGAGCATAGAAGGCACAGGCGTGGCCTTGCATCCCAGCACCAGCACTCTGCCGCCTGCCTGTGACTTCTCTGCACTTGGTTTGCCTCCCTGGGCCTCAGTGGCCTAATCTGTAAGAAGGAATGACAGTAACTTTTGTTGGAAGATCAAATGACACTGCATGTGCTCCCTGTCTAACACGGTGCCTGGCGCTATTGAAGTGTTCAGGAAGGACCAGATCTTACTTGCCCTAATTTTTCCTTTCATTCCTTCTCCTTTCACCGAATTAGGTTGACAGTGCTGTGGGAACCCTCCCTGCAACGAGTCCCCAGAGCACCCCCGTCCAGGCCAGAGGGACCAACAAGCTCAGAAAACCTAAGCTTCCTGATGGCCAGCAGGCCGCCAAAGCCCCTGGGAGCTCAGATGACAGTGAGGACAGCAGCGACAGCTCTTCAGGAAGCGAGGAAGATGCTGCAGGGCCCCAGGTGGCCAAGTCAGCCCACAGGCTAGGTGAGGGTGCCCAGGGGAAAGGCAAGGCTGGGCCAGGAGGTGGGTGGAGTCTGACCTGGTGGAGCCATAGCTCTGGCCTCAGCTCTGTATCTCAGATTTGTTCTGTGCCCTTGGCTGAGCCTGGGCCTCAGTTTCCCCACCTGTACAATTTCATGAGGAAGTCAGTCTAAATTAATTCAGAGACCTGACTTTGCTGTTTGACCACTCTCAGCTTTTTGGTATCAGATTCCGTTCACTGACTCCCCAAAACTCCAGGGCCATGTTTCTGGAACAAGGGAAAGCAGGGAAATAGAAATGAGGCCTTGGGAATTAGAAATAAGGCTTTGGTATTCAGATGTCTCACCTAGCATGCTGCCAATAGCAGCGAGTGTGCAAGGAGCATTAGAAGCAGTAGAAGACTTGGGGTGGGGATGAGGGACCTGCAGAGAGACCCAGGCCTTCCTGAAGGGCTCTGCCCTGCCTGGCTGGCAGGGCCTACCTGGGGCTACCAGCAGGATACTGTACTTCTCCAGTAGGTCCCAACCCCTCCAGGATGGAGACCCTGGTAGAGGAGACCACAGCAGAATCCAGCGAGGATGATGTCGTGGCGCCATCCCAGGTAACTGCAAGGGAGAGGGCTGGCAGCGCAGCCTTAGGGTGGAGCCCCAGGCCAGGCTTCTGTCTACCCCTTCCCTCAGGTCAGGGGTCTGGGCCCCCTCTCTTCACAGAGGTCTTGGGCAAGGTCCTGTCTGGAAAGTACCAGCTGTGGCCCAGCCAACAGACTATATCCAGGCTGTCTCCCTCCTGGCATAGAGCCCTGAGTATCTGACCCTTAGGGTCTGTAGAAGGGATTGACCTTGATTCTGAGTGATGTCCGGACAAAAACTTTCTTTAGCAGACTTCTTTTAAAGTTACTGTCTGTGTGTGGCAAAAGCTAGTAATTTTCCATTTGCAGTAATAAGAAATTTGCTTTTTAAATGTGCCTGTCTAGAAATTTTATTAATTAAAATAGTTCAGGAGGCACACACCAAGGGCTGAAGTGCTTCTCTGCGCCTTGCCGCCCACACATTCTGCACCCACAGGGCGGGGTGATTCTAGAGGCCCCAGGCTGCTTTCCTCACAGCAGGCCATGACTTGGGCTGAACTGGGGGGCAGCGTGCAGCTGGCCGCCTCTTTCACACTGGGCTTCTTCAGTCTCTCCTCTCAGGTTATGTGACCCCTGGACTAACCCTAGCCAATTCCCAGGCCTCAAAAGCCACTCCCAAGCCAGACTCCAATCCTTCAGTTTCCTCTACTCTGGCCACCAGAGATGACCCAGATAGCAAGCAGGAGGCAGAGCTCCAACAGGCAACAGACACCTTGTCCCCTAAAACAGGTGAGTTGAGGTCTGCAGGAGGGACACAGCAAGACACAGAGGAACAGGGCAGTGGGCCCCTTCTTGCCCTCCTGTAGCACCACCAGTCCTCCCAACATGGTCCTATCTGCCACCAGAGCCTCTCCAAGTGAGACCCTGTGGCCCCGCATTGGACCTGGAGATGCTCATCAAAGTGCAGGTGGAGCCAGGTGCAGCAGCACACACCTGTAATCCTAGCACTTTGGGAGGCCGAGGTGGGAAGATTGCTAGAGCCCAGGAGTTCGAGACCAGCCTGGGCAACACAGGGAGACCCTGTCTCTAAAATTTCTTTTAATTAGCTGGTGTGATGGTCCACACTTGTATTCCCAGCTACTTGAGAGGCTGAGTCAGGAGAATCACTTGAGGCCAAGAGGTTGAGGCTATAGTGAGCCATGATTATGCCACTGCACTCTGGCCTGGGTGACACAGTGAGACCCTGTCTCAAAAAAAAAGTACAAGTGGGCCCCATGCCCCAGACAAGCCTGGAAGTGGGGTATGTCCAGGCCTGGGTGATGCTAACGTACCAGATAGGATAACCCCTGCCTCAGAGGAAGCCACGTCTTTTGGCTTGTGAAGGAAGCATTGGCTCTCTCCAGCCATCCGCATCAACTTTTCTTCCCTGTAAATAGGCTCGCAGTGTGGGGTGTGGGCTGTGGGCTGTGGGCCACAGAGGAGAGCTCAGACAATAGGCTGAGAGTCATGTTTGGGGGACACTCAGCACAGGCAGGAGACCCCAGACAAGAGGCTAGCCCCAAGCTGTTCCGACTCACTCTAAAGCCTTGGAAATCTCCTGGCCACTCTGGGTCTCTGTGTCTTAACCGTACAAAGCAGAAGTTGATGTATCCAGTCTGTGTCAAGGCATGGCACATGTAGAAAATGGTCACCTGCTATTTGGAAGTCATACTGGAGTACTCAAGCCAACATGGGGCATTTGCTATCTCTGACTCTGCTAGAGCTAAGTGTCGAATATATCCCAGCTGGGCACACCTAGGACAGCTCCAAGGCTTCTCCAGCCTTGGCGTTCTGGGTTTTTGCAGACAAGCAGAGAAGTGGGCCAGGTGTCGTGGCTCACACCTGTAATCCGAGCACTTCGGGAGGCCAAGATGGGCAGATCTCTTGAGGTCAGGAGTTTGAGACCAGCCTGGCCAACATGGTGAAACCTTGTCTCTACTAAAAGTACAAAAAAACTAGTCAGCATGATGGCAGACACCTGTAGTTCCAGCAACTCGGGAGGCTGAGGCAGGAGAATCGCTTGAACCCAGGAGGTGGAGGTTGCAGTGAGCCAAGATTGCACCACTGCACTCCAGCCTGGTCAACAAAGAAAAACTCTCTCTCAAAAAAAAAGGCAGCAAAAAGGTAGGCTCTGGGGAGAGAGGTTGCCAGGGCTAACTGCCCTCCCCAGCTTCCCTTTCCAGTTGGCTCTTGCCCTCTTGAAGAATCACCAAAGGATGGAATTGGGCCCCCAACCATCTTGGGGCCCCCTTGCTTGACCTAGCCTGCCCTACCCTTCCCTGCCCTGCCCTGCCCAGCCTACCTCCCCCAGCCCACCACACTCTAGAGCAGGCATCCCCAACTGCAGCCCCCTGAGGCCATTTATCCGGCCCCCCACCGCACTTCAGGAAGGGGCACCTCTTTCATTGGTGGTCAGTGAGAGGAGCACAGTATGTGGTGGCCCTCCAATGGTCTGAGGGATAGTGAACTGGCCCCCTGTATAAAAAGTTTGGGAACGCCTGCTCTGGAGAGTCAAAAGTTGCTAGAGATCCTGGGTGGAGCTGAAGGGCCAGGCTCACCATATGCTGCAGGGGACAGGCCCAGTGTGACATAGAGTGTTCACCTGGGCCTTCCTTGGGGTGAACACCTCTAGGGCCAAACCACCAAGCCACCTTTCAGAGCCCAGCGTGCAGGAGTGTTGCGCCCATGAGACCCAGAATGGGGCAGAGACCTCCAAGTCCCCTGGGAAGTTAGAGGTGGCGAGGGGATGCAGTCATGGGGCTTTCAGCCACAGCTTGGGTCAGAAGAGGAATTGCTGCTCACTTTCTTCCCCAGCGTTCTTTGTGAGAGGCGGTGCAACAAGGAGACATTTTAGAGGGGGCTGTGGAAGGTTTTTTTTTACACGTGTAGTCAGCACACAATTATCAAAGGCAAGCAGAGGCGTGGAAAATTCTAAACAAAGGCTGCACCAGAAGTCTCTCTGGCAGGCAGTAAACCTGCTTAGTCAGCCGCCACATGTATATACACTGTACCCAGCACTCCCCACCTTACCTGGACCCCCTGACCAGGAAGGGCCAAGTGTGGGTAGTCATGAATTGAATGTCTGCATGGCCTCTGCTTTTATTACAAATCTACAGCGTTTCTTAGGGAGCCTTGCTATTCATATACCCCTCAGATTATAGACAGAGAAACCGAGGCCCTGGGAGGAGATGGGTCCTGGCCAGAATCACACTGAAAGTTAGTGGGAATGTCAGACATAGTACCCAGGTCTCCTTCTTCCCAGCTCCAGACTCCATCTCCCTCCTGTCTGACTTCATTTCATTGATAGATTTCAGGCCCTTTCATTAACATTCTAGAGTCATTTTCTGTCCCCTACCCTAACTTCAGTTTTTAGTGTAAAGAGACAGAGGGGATGGCCGGGCGTGGTGGCTCAAGCCTGTAATCCCAGCACTTTGGGAGGCCGAGGCGGGTGGATCACGAGGTCAAGAGATCGAGACCATCCTGGTCAACATGGTGAAACCCCGTCTCTACTAAAAATACAAAAAATTAGCTGGGCATGGTGGCGCGTGCCTGTAATCCCAGCCACTCAGGAGGCTGAGGCAGGAGAATTGCCTGAACCCAGGAGGCAGAGGTTGTGGTGAGCCGAGATTGCGCCATTGCACTCCAGCCTGGGTAACGAGCAAAACTCCGTCTCAAAAAAAAAAAAAAAAAAAAAAGAGACAGGGGAAAGCTATAAGTTAGAAACGAAGTCAGAATGTGAAAATGGTGGAAAGTTGTGAGCTTAGGAGGCCAGCTGGGGCAGAGTGACCGCCAAGCATCGCTCTACCCATCTGTGCCATTTTAAGAAAAGGCAGAGTCACTCACTGCACCCTCTTCACTCTTAGGTACCATAAGATTTATCCCCCAGCTCTCCCAGATCCGTGACCCCACATTCTCTCTCCATAGGTGGAAAAGAGGCTGTCTCAGGCACCAAACCTCAGAAGTCCCAGAAGCCCAAGAAAGGGGCTGGGAACCCCCAGACCTCAACCCTGGCGCTGCAAAGCAACATCGCCCAGCGCCTCATGGGCCAACCCTGGCCCCTGAGCGAGGCCCAGGTGCAGGCCTCGGTGATGAAGGTCCTGACTGAGCTGCTGGAGCAAGAAAAAAAGAAGGCGGCAGATGTTACCAAGGAGAGCAGCAGGAAGGGCTGGGAGAGCCGCAAGCGGAAGCTGTCCGGAGACCAGCCTGCTGCCAGGAACAAGAAGAAGAAGCTGGGGGCCGGAGAAGGTGGGGAGGCCTCTGTCTCCCCAGAAAAGGCCTCCATGACTTCCAAGGGAAAAGCAAAGAGAGACAAAGCAAGTGACGGCATCAAGGAGAAGAAGGGGAAGGGGTCTTCTGGCTCCCAAGGGGCCAAGGACAAGCCAGAAGAGGAGCTTCAGAAGGGGATGGGGAAGGTTGAAGGTGGAGATCAAAGCAACCCAAAGAGCAAGAAGGAGAAGAAGAAATCAGACAAGAGTGAGTGACCACTTCTCTGGCCCTACACTGAGGGCTGCCGGGCACCTCATGGGGGCAGGAGGGACCCTGAGCCAGCATCTAGTCTCATTTCTCCCATGTAGAAAGGAGAGGCTGAAACCAGCCTGGCCAACATGGCAAATCCCCATCTTTACTAAAAATACAAAAAATTAGCTGGGCGTGGTGGCAGACACCTGTAATTCCAGCTACTTCGGGAGGCTAAGGCAGGAGAATCACTTGAACCCAGGAGTCGAAGGCTGCAATGAGCCAAGATCACACCGTTGCCCTCCAGCCTGGGTGACAGAGTGAGACTGTCAAAAAAGGCTGAGAAGTGGTTTGTCCAGAGTCATGCGGAGGGGGCAATTAGTGGCAAAGCCAGAACTTGGTTCCAGAGCACTTGGGCCAGCACTGCCAGGAATGCTCCAGAAGGATGAGGAGTCATGTCCTCTTTCCCCGAGCCCACCTGCTTCTCCAGCCAGCTCCCTGAGTGCAGAGTAGGCCAGACACCAGACTGTCGGAATCTTCACGCCAAACCCCATCTTCTCTCTAGACCTCAGTTTTCCCTCCATAGTAACACTGGCTTTCTACTGAGCTCTGCTAGACTGCATGCAGCAGGTCCTCATTTAGGTAGAAATGAAGCTCAGCAGATAGAAAACTGAGGCTCAGAGAAGTAGACATGCTGTTCAGGGCCACAGAGTTTTACTAGGTGGAACCAGAGTCAAACCTAGGCAGCACTCTGAAGCGCCACCCTGGATGGTAGGAAAGGGGTGTATGAGATGCCAGTGATGCCCAGAGAGCCAGCTCTTTCTAGAGCAAGAGTCGGGCACCCTCAGAGCAGAATGCAGGGCCTGCAGCCCCTTGGCGCTCCGAACTGTGCTAGATTTCCATTCACAGGAGGAATAGATAGTGTCCATTTAAAATAAATTTGTGGGAGTTTTAAAAAGTGAGTTGACCTAAAGAAAAATAGTAGTCATCCAGGTGGTCCATAGATGAGACAGAAATCATGAGCTGGCCCCCAAGGGGCAGGTGAGCTGGCACTGCTGGGTAGTCACCAAGGCCACCAGCCTGTTTTGTTTTTATTTTTTTGAGTCAGGGTCTTGCCCAGTCACCCAGGCTGGAGTGCAGTGTCGTGAACGCAGCTCACTGCATCCTCAGCCTCCCAAGCTCAAACGATCCTCTTGCCTCAGCCCCGCAAATCACTGGGACCACAAGCGTGCACCACCATGCCCAACTAATTTTTGTATTTTTTGTAGAGATAGGTCACTCTGTTGCCCAAGCTGGTCTTGAGCTCCTCAGCTTGAGTGATCCACCTGACTCAGCCTCCCAAAGTGCTGGGATTGCAAGCACGAGCCACCATGCCTGGCCCTGCCAGCTTGTTGGGATGGCTCCCGGTGATGTGGGGAGAGCTGGGAGCCCTGCCCCTGTGCGCCTCCCAACACTGACCCCAGCACTTAGGATTACCATCTGTTGTTCAAGAAATTTGCTTTCTTCCCTCAGGAAAAAAAGACAAGGAAAAAAAGGAAAAGAAGAAGAAAGCAAAAAAGGCCTCAACCAAAGATCCGGAGTCACTATCCCAGAAGAAAAAGAAGAAAAAGGTAGAGTGAGTTCCTGAAGGGTCTCCGGCCAGAAAACGGACCCAAATCCAAGCCCCTTCGCACATACCCAGACCTGGTTCCTTTCCCCTTCCCCTTTCCAGGGCCTGGTGGGGGCCTCATGAGTTGTGACACAGCAGGGAAGAGGCTGGCAGGGCATGTTCCCTGAGCACGTGGAAGCCATAGAAGTGGCCTGCCACTTTTCTGAAGGGTGTTGGGGAAGGAAGGAGAGACTCCCCCCAGCACAGGGAAACCAGGTAGACGATGGAGGTTTCCAGGTGTGAGAGGAAGCATTGCCTGGGATGTGTGTGCCCCGGCTGGCAGGCTGGCCCTGAACAAGGGCTGTCCTTACTGCCTGGGGCCTCAGCACCTCAGATGTAGATGAAGTTCTCCCCTTGACCAGCAAGGCCTCAGCTGTATTTAGGAGAGCTGAACATCTGTTTGCCTCTGCCTTCGGGGGTTCCCTGCAGACCCAGTATTTGTTCTGGGGGAATTCACTAGTCCTCAGGAGGTTGGGGCAGCAGTGGGTAGGGAAAAGCTGCAGGTCTGAGCCTCTCATACTTCCCTCCTCACAGAAGAAGACACCAGAGCAGACTGTATGATGAGCATCAGCACAAGTCACAGGTATGCTTCCCAATCATTCCTGAGCATTCGGGGCTGGAGGACAGCCCTGGCATCTGCTCTAGTCCCAGAGAGCCAGGCAGACCCAGTCGGTGGGCTCCAAGGAGAAAGGAGGCTGGGGAAAGAGGTTCTATTGCCAAGTGTCCATGGGGCCAGTGGGGTGACATCAGGAGCTGGCACTGCAGCATCAGAAGGATCCAGATGGTAACGGCAGTGGCTGACATCAAGTGTACCCTGGGTGCAGGGATTGTACATGGTTTAGGGGGTTGTGCCCTGGGAGATGGAACCTGTTTGTAGGTGAGATCAGATACAGCTTGGTCTTTCCTTCACTTCTGTCCAGTTACTTTTCCTCATGATCCTGTAACTCGGGGGCATTTCCTTTTGGGAAGGAAGATGGTTTGCTCAGGATGAGCTGTCTCCATGGATCTATGCTTCTCTGTGGAGGACAGGCCCTGCCAAGTGCTGGTGACGGTTAGCTGCTCCACTGGCTGTGATGCTCTGCGGTCACCCAGCCTCCTGTAAATGGGGCAATGCAGAGCCCGCCTCCTGGGCTGGTGGTGAGGCTTCTGTGAAGCTAAACACTAAAGGACTCAGCCCAGTTCCCAGAATGTTCCAACTGGTAAAAAATGCTGTGGTTAATGCCTCTCCCCTGCAGTGGAGATGCCAGGCCTCATTTTCCTTGGAGGAGAAAAAGGTCAGAGAATCTGATGTCTGGGTGTGTTTCCTTCCCCCAGGGATTTTCTAGCCGAGCAGTGACCATCCCCCTGCCTCTGACGTCCGCCGACCTCTGCTCACCATGGGTTGGAAGTAAATTGTTACCTTCCCCTCGCTCCACAGAAGAAGACAGCCAGCTGCAGGGGTCCCTGTACTGGCCAAGCCAGTGAGCCTGCGGGGAGGCTGGACCGAGGAGAAAGCTAGCCAGCTCCCATGACCTCGTCCTACTACCCCAACAAGGGACGCTTCGTATAGATGTGTACAGTATATGTATTTTTTTAAGTGACCTCTCCTTCTGCAGACCCCACATGCCCAAAGGCCTCAGGACTTCCCACCGCCTTGCTCCACAGATCCAGCCAGGCCCGACCCGTGCCGGTCGGTCTCTGGCTGATCCTGAGGCTTTGTCTTCCTCTCGTCAATTCTGTTGGTTGTATTTTTACTGTTTTTAAGAACTCAAAAAAATAAAAGACTTGGAGGAAGCGTGCAAGTTCCCAGTACCTCTGGGGCACAGGCTTCTTGGAAGGGACCATCTCGCCAACAGTTGGGATTCCTTCTTTCATGTGTGTTGAGGCTGTGGGTAACCACGGTTAGTGGGACAGGCGGTAAGTTTGAGAAAGAAACGCAGCGAGATGCCAAATTGGCAGGGAAGGCTTCCTGGATGAGGTGACATCTAAACTAAAGGATAGTCATGCTTGATTTCCTGTTGCCAGAGTAAGCCGTGTAGATACCCAAAGACAAGAAATGGAAGGGGGCCTGAGAAGCCTTGAGCTAGGCCTTGAGCTAGAGGCAGGCTCTCTTTAGGTGCATGGTGGAGAAGAGCTATGGCAGGCCCAGCAGGTCTAGGAAAGTCAGGAGTGGTGAGTTGTCCCTCACATCGAGCTCACCATGGTTCTGTGGTGGTGGGGGCAAGAAGCAGATGAACATGAAAGACATGGAATGACGTCTTGGGTGTGGAATGGAGGAGGGGAGGGGTAGCAAAGGAGGTCTCCTGTTCCATCCTGGAAATGCAGAAGCCCACTTCCCTAGGCCCAGAATCATATAAAACACCAGGGGCGCCAGAGATGTCTCCAAAGCTTTAGCCTCGTGCTGGAAACAGCCAGAGGTGGTGCAGAAAAGGAATGCAGAGCTGGAGGTGTTGGACACCCTGCAGTTCCTGATTTCTGGCTCCTCTTAAAAAGACAACATCTGGCAGCCAGGGGGCTGTGCTCCCTCCTGGCAGCAACCAGATAGAGCTGAGTAGCAGGTGGCCCCTTAGGTAGGGCACGGGTGCCCAGTCCTCCACAGTCCCCCACTTCCTGTCCATCCCTGACACTGAGGCCCCGTGTTGGTTGCCATCTGTCTTCACATTCGCACTGTTCTTAGTATAGAAATGAAATTGGGGACGTAGGAAAATGAAAGCTGTACCAAGAGGAGCTTGTGCTTAAAAAACCAGGCAAGAGCTTATTTCTTCTTGGAAGTATAGAGTGCTCGTGTGTGTTCAACATGTCATCAAGGATATCTGTGTCCAAGACTGCAGGCGTATGTCGGTTCTTTGGACCACATTGTCCCACCCAAATGACGGGTCTAGGGTCTTTAGTTACCTCCTTAGGATAAATGAACTGGATCCCAACAGATGAGCCAGGAGCCAGAGTGTTCTACTTACTACTTTTTATTCTAACATGAGCTATGGCCCTGAGAGCTGATGACAAGCTTGACTGAGCAGAGGGAACCAGGGGTCAGCAGAAAGGATTATGGGTAGGGAATCTTGGCTCTTTCTTGGGGAGTGATGGGGGGAAGGGGAAGAGAGTGGCTCGGCCTACAGGTAGATAGGCTAGGAAAGCTGAGGCGAAAGGCCGGAGGGGAGAGAACAGCAAGCCTGTCCAGCCTGGGGTCTGGGGGTAGAGTTATCCGTTCTTGCTGTGCCTTCCCACCTCATCCATGGGCCTAGATCTCGGAGTCCCGTGTCGGAGGCTGCTGTGGTATCTGTCTAGCTTCTGGCTACCTCCTGGGACCTCACGCCCCTGTTGACAGATGGAGATTGGGCAGCAGAGCCCTGCTGCATCATTATCTGATGTTCTTGGTTTGTCATGTCCAGGGGTGACAGAGAGCCAGGCACCAGGTCTCGTGGGACAAGTACAGGGTGGGAGATGGGGGAGGGGCTGGGGGCCAAAGGGAGCAAGAAAGCTGTGGCTGTGCAGGGCCGGTGGGATGCTGGAGACCACCTCTGCCGTTCTCACACGGCGACTGGAGAGAGAAGCAGCAAGTTGAGGTTAGCGTCATCCATTTGTTGTCTCTGCCCCTTCCTAAAATCCTGGACCTGCAGAGCAGGTGAGGACTGTCCACCCTCCCCTGTCCCCTGCTAGGGTCCAAGTAATAACCATCATGGATTTGTGTAAGTCCCCACAGCCCCTCAACCCTCATCTGACATTCCTCATCTGTGAAATGGTCATCCCAGGGATGTTGGAGAGTAGCCCAGGGTCACACTCCTTCACCCGCCCACAAAGGAGCTGGCCCCGCTGGGGATGAGCTGCTGGTGACCAGATGCCCCTCTGCAAGGCCCTTACCTGGGCCCAGATCCTGCTTGGTCACTCCCAGCCCAGAAGATGGGTCCTCCAGTTCCAGTAACTCTGCAAAGGAGCAGCAAGTCCATTTGTTAACTTGTGCAGCCTATCCAACCCTAGATGCCCGAGGGCAGTGCTTCCCACCAAAGCAGCTGCCAACGGAAGGACAGCTGCCAACAGCAACGAAGAGGTGTGATGGGGGCTTGAGTGAGAGGGGTGATGAAATGACATGGTGGGTCCATAGGACTCCTGGATGCTAGAGGATGGCGCGTGGATGAATGAAAATCAGATGAAAGGACTGATGGATAAGTGAACAAATGAAAGAGATGAGTGGATGTAAGAGGAGAGATGATAACTGGACAAATAGGAATGCACAGGTGGGTGGGTGGATAAAGGGCTGGACACATGACTATGTGGCTGCCCCAGGAGCTGCCATCCCGGGTGTCCTGGCCCCATGTGCTTCAGACGGGACCTCTTGCCCCTCAACCTTCCTAGTGCTTCCTGGTCCTCTGACACGGGCACAGCGGCCACCGCTTACCACTGCAGTTATGGTGCCCACGGCTTCTGGTGTTGGGGACCTCTGTGCCGTTGGGGAAGACACACCAGCAGTAGCCGATGCTCCCATAGCACTGGAGCGGCAGATAGTTGCCGTTCTCGTCGCACTTGGGACGGAACGAACCCGGGTGGACATCAGGGATGCGGCTGACCTCTTCCTGGCACTTGGTCAGTGCTGAAGCGACAGGTACGATGAGGACACAGTGAGTGAGCGAGCTCTGAACCAGGGTGTGAGCAGAGCCAGAGACCCACACACCACTGCTGTGGGCCGAATGCCGTCTTTCCAAGTGGCTTTACTCACTCCAGCCATTACGCGGATGAGAAAACAGGCCCGAGGCCTAGACCAACAAGGTCCGAGATCAAAAAGGAAGTGAATGGCTGTGTCCAGTTCGCCGCAGAAGTTGATGACTTCTGACACTCAATGCCCATTGCAGTTTGGGGCCAGGCACAGTGGCTCATGCCTGTAACCCCAGCACTTTATGAGGCCGAGGTGGGCAGATCGCTTGAGGTCAGGAATTCAAGACCAGCCTGGCCAACATGGTGAAACCCAGTCTCTACTAAAAATACAAAAACTAGTTGGGCATGATGGTGCCCGCCTGTAATCCCAGCTACTCAGGAGACTGAGGCAGGAGAACTGATTGAACCTGGGAGCTGGACATTGCAGTGAACCGAGATGGCACCACTGCAGTCCAGCCTGGGTGACAGACTCCGTCTCAAAAAAGAAAAAAAATTAGTTTGGAATTGCACTTTCGATTCTGATTTCTAGAGAAAAGCCATGGGCATCTTGGTAAGTCTAAGCTTGCTGTTACAGGGAGTTCCCAAGCAGAAATGAGGGTTACCATTTGTTGGAGATGTCTTAGAGGGGTTTAATAAAGCATCAGTTAGGAGTTGGTGGAGGTAGCATGTAAGATGCCTTCTATGAATCTGATGCAGAAACAGGCCCCGGGCAGGGTGGCCTTTGATCTACTTCAGGACCCTGAATCCCAGAGGAAAGGAGACTTGGCCCAAAGTTACAAAGCCAGTTAGAGACAGCACCGGGATAAAAAACGGCGCTCTTTGGCTTTGGGGCTAAAACCATCCTAGTCTGCGTCGTCCATGAGGTGGGAAACTTGCAAGGCTCTCTTGGCAGCAGCTGTGACCTTGCTACCCTCACTGGAGCTGCAGGCAGTGCTGGGGCAAGGTCATTACAAGGATTCCTTCCTGGGGTGTTTCGGGCTGGTTTTGCTCCAGGCCCCCTGTGTGGTGCCATCCTCCATGAGAGAGGTCACCCGTACCCTCTGGTGACAGGCCTCTGTGGGCCCTTAGGAACCCTTGGACAAGATGGGGATGGCGCAGGGGCAGAGGACAGCCAAACCAAGAAGGAACAGACAGGAGAGACAGAAGTGAGGGCTGAGAGGATGGGAGGTTCTGGTGCTGGGGGAGTGAGAGCCCCAGGGGAGCACCCAGAAGCCCTGGCACCCTAAAGCTCCCACTCCCTGTACCTTTTGGTGGAGCCTCAGTGGGCTTTTGCTCCAGGGAGGGCTTGCTCATTTCAAACAAGAGCCAATGGTGCAGCCAGCTCTCAAAGACCTAATAGGGATAGAGGTGAAGGTCAGGTTCAACGGCCACCATCAAGCCCCTACACTGCCTGGCTTTTCCCCTGGGGACAGAAACACGCAGGGCCAAACAGGGCCCCAACACCTGGGTCCAGCTGCAGCGTGGTTCCCCCTTAAAGACCCATGGGGCTGAACCCACGCACTCTGCAGTGTCCAGACTTTGGAAGTGCTAGTAAACACCTTCAGCTTCCTGAGAATGGCTTCCCCAGCCCACCCTCACCCCACCTCTCCCAGCCCTGCCCTAGACATCAGGTGAAAGAGACAGTTCCCAGTCAGGGGAACCTGCTGACCTTCCAGTCCATGGTCTGCATGGTGTTCTTAAGGTGTTTCAGGTTCTCCGAGAGGCTCCCCTTCAGCGGCGGGTATACCTTCAGGGGGTCAGCATTCTACAGGGTAGCAGGGCAGGAAGGATGGTTCAAAAAGAGCTCCCTGGCAGGTAGTGTGACATGTGTAGCCCACATTCCCTTGGTCTTCCATTCTGAGGAATGGACTAGACCTGCACCAAGCCTAAACCCTGGACCTCAGCCATGATGGGATGGGAGGGGTAAGAGTAGTCCAGCTGTAGAGCTGCAAGACTCCAGGGCTGGGAACCGAGTTTCAGATTCCAGGCCAGCTCTACCAACGAGCCCCAGTCTCCTCCTCCCTGCGGATGGCTGCTCAGCTTTCAGGTCTCACCTGCTCCAGAAGGTGAGGACCCAAACTTGACTGCCCCCAGCTAAGTTGAGGGTCCTCTGCCTCTTTCCTCACAAAGCTCCCTGCTCTTCTGTCATCATCTGGCCAATTGTCTGTCTCCTACACTAGCCTGAGATCCCCATGGCTTCAGGAGCTGGGTCCAGTTACTCCCCATTGTGGACCCAGAGCTTTGCACAGTGCCTGGCACAGAATAGACATGCAGTATAAACTTGAGGGCCCAGGAGGAAAAAAAAAAGGTCTTGAGCAAGTCACTTCCAAGCTTTGAGCCTCAGTTTCTTTTTCTTTTCTTTTCTTTTTTTATTTTTATTTATTTATTTATTTATTTATTTATTTTTTTTGGACAGAGTATCTCTCTGTCACCCAGGCTGGAGTGCAGTGGTGCGATGATCTCAGCTCACTGCAACCTCCACTCCTGGGTTCAAGCGATTCTCCTGCCTCAGCCTTCCGAGTAGCTGGGATTACAGGTGCCTGCAATCACGCCCGGCTAATTCTTGTATTTTTAGTAGAGACAGGGTTTCAACATGTTGGCCAGCCTGTTCTCGAACTCCTGACTTAAGGTGATCCACCCACCTTGGCCTTCCAAAGTGTTGGGATTACAGGCATGAGCCACCTCACCCAGCCCAGCCTGTTTCTCTACCTCAAAATGCAGAGGCCAGACTACATAGAACATTTATGGGTCATCCTTGTATTCGGTAATCCAGAGAGCACATATTGAAAGTCTGCCATGAGCCAGGTATACAGGCCGTGGAGCTCAGCCTGGCCAGGGTCCTGGGTGGGCAGGCAGGGCCACCCAGCTGGCTCCCTGCACTCACCAGGAGCAGGTGCATCACATGGTCCTCTGTCATGTTGCCATACTTGGTGGCATTCTGCATGGGCTGTGGGAGGAAGGAACAGAAGATTACCAGCACTGGTCCCTAGAGCAGGGGAGTGGGGTGGAGCAGGAGCCAGTTGCTGGGATCTGGGTAAGAGTCTGAAATCCCAGGCACTTGGTCAGTGAGTCCATCTCTGCCACCTTCAAACATGAGGACTCGAGCAGATCACTTTAGCTTCCTGCCTCAATGTCCTCATTGGTCGAACTGGCATAAGCTTTCCGCCCAGGATTTTGTCCACAGCACAGTTTTGTGAATAAAAGCATTGTCGATACATGATAGCAAGGGCTTTGAGAATGGGAGGGGACAGTGAGATGCTATGGAAAATTAGTAGCACTTTGCAAACTACAGAGGGCTGAGCCTTCTTCCCAGGGATGGCACCAGGAGACTCTTCTTCACCTTCCCCCCCACCACACCTGGGAAGCCCTATTCTTCCTGAGGCAGGCACTGTGCCTCCCTGAGCAGTCAGGACCCCTCCCCAGCTGGGCTCTCCTCCCTGCCTCTCCCCACCCCTCCCCTTGGCGCTGTCTTCCATCCAGGCAGGGTAACCTTGCCCCTCTCACCACATTGGGGCTGTCCTTACCTTCTGGGGCAGGCCTGCCATGGGCAGCGCCTGCATCAGCAGCGGGGTGGCCATGCGCATCTGGCTCAAAGGCTTGGCAGCTGTGGGGACAGGGAACAAGGATAAGTGTGGCCCCGTGCCCAGGGAGGAGGGTATCAGATCCCAGGTCCAGATGAGCAGTGGTGGGAGTCCCAAACCATGGGGAGAGGACAGTGGCCCCAGCTGGGTGCAGGGATGGCAGCGTCTGAGGTAAGGGACAGTGGGAGGCGGGGGTGTCGGGACGGAGTGGTGCACGCACGCTTTGGAAGCTTCATGCGCATGTTCTCCAGCTGCAGGTTCTGGGAGGTGACCGTCAGTTTGTCCAGCCGGCCCTGCTGCTGGTACAGGAAGTAGGCGGTGGTGGCCTGGCCAGCCAGGAGCAGAGCCACCAGGACGGAGAAGACTGTGTACACGGCTTCCACGGCTGCACTTGCTGTGGGAGGTGGGGAGGATAGGTCAGAGGAGAATCCACAGTGGTGGCTGCCCCAAGGGCTGGCTGGCAATGGGGAAATGTATCCCCCATCTCCATCAGCCCCCTAAGCCACCCCTAACAAACAATGCACTTGAAGCACAAACAAGCTGGCTGTGGAAATGCAGCTTGAAGACCTCGCCCCACCCCTCCTTCCAACCACTGATGCACCTGAAGTCCTCCCAGGCCGAGACCATGCAGCTGCCCCGGGCCTGAGTTGAACACAGAAGAGCAAAGAGCCAGCACACTCCTTGTCCTCTCTGGACTTTCATGTCCTCTCTCTGCTGTGAGAATCCTCCTGAGGATCAGGGCTGCCCTCAAGGGGAACAGGTTTGGTTTCTGTTTTGGTTTTCTACTGGCAGGATCAACCAGGTATGTTATTTTTTTTTTAAATTGACAAAAAAAAAAAAAAAATTGTATGTACTTACCAAGTAAGAGAAAGGTGGTTTTCACCCCTCTGCCCAACCTCCCACCCCCACAGTGAGATTGGATTTCAGGAGAAAAGGAAAGGAAATGGGACCGGGACAGCAGAAAATGTGTCCCACCTGAAAAGGGGAAGTGGGGACTGGCCATTTTAGGAGTGGGTTGGCGGAGACTTGGCGACGTCAGGCTGAAGCGGGGCCAGGCACCACCCACTCTAGGACCATCCTTTGCCCAGGCTTTCCATGTGTCTTCGAGCATGTCCCTGCCAATCTGTGTGCCTCTGTTCCCTCACTTGTCACATAGGTGCCCTTCACCTCTGCAATTCTAGGATTTAGTAGGCTGCTTCTTTTAAGAAGCTCTCACTGCCATCGCCAAAGTATTTCAAATGGTACTATCCACCCTGCAGGGCATGGGCAGGGGTCTAGGTACCTGAGCCTGTGTGGCCTGGATGAATTTCTCATGCTCCCTGGACTCACCATCCAGACCCTCAGACCTCAGTGAGCCCTTGTATCTGTGGGCCTTGGATGTGATTATGGGGGTGCATGCTATGTTACAGTACAGGGGAGGTAAGGATCCTGCCCCTGTATCTTGGGAGTTTCTGATCTGTTCTTTGACTCATCCCAGGGGTGGGACTACTAGGACCCTGTTATGGTTTGAGGGTGTCCCCTCCAAAATCCAGGTGTTGCCAATGTGAAGGTGTTGAGGTGATCGGGCCATGGGGGCTTCTCTCTCATGAATGGGATTACGTGCCCTGTAAGAGGGCTTGACGAATGGCCGGGCGTGGTGGCTCACGCCTGTAATCCCAGCAATTTGGGAGGCCGAGGCAGGCAGAGCACGAGGCCAGGAGATTGAGACCATCCTGGCCAACATGGTGAAACCTCGTCTATACTAAAAATACAAAAATTAGCTGGGTGTGGTGATGCATGCCTGTCATCCCAGCTACTTGGAAGGCAGAAGCTGGAGCATCGCTTGAACTAGGAAGTAGGAGGTTGCAGTGAACTGAGATTGCACCACAGCACTCCAGCCTGGCGACAGAGTGAGACTCTGTCTCAAAAATAAAAATAAGAGGACTTGACGGAAGGAATTGGTTCTCTCTTGCCCTTCTGCCTTTCACCATGTGAGGACACATCAAGGAAGCCCCTCACCAGGCCGGGTACAGTGGCTCCCACCTGTAATTCCAGCACTTTGGGAGGTTGAGGTGGGTGGATTACTTGAGGCCAGGAGTTGAAGACCATGTTGGCCTCAGGTAATCTACCTGCCTCAGCAAAACCCTGTTGCTACAAAACATACAAAAAAAAATTAGCCAGGCATGGTGGCACGCACCTATAGTCCTAGCTACTTGGGAGGCTGAGGTCGGAGAATCACTTGAACCTGGGAGGCAAAGGTTGCCATGAGCCAAGATCGCTCCACTGCACTCCAGCCTGGGTGACAGAAGAAGAATGTGTCAAAAAAAAAAAAAAAAAAAAAAAAAAAAAGGAAAGCTAGGCCGAGTGTGGTGGTTCACACCTGTAATCCCAGCACTTTGGGAGGCCAAGGCAGGAGGATTACCTGAGGTCAGGAGTTCGAGACCAGCCTGGCCAACATGGTGACACCCCATCTCTACTAAAAATATAAAAATTAGCCAGGTGTGGTCTTGGGCACCTGTAATCCCAGCTACTCAGGAGTCTAAGGCAGGAGAATCGCTTGAACCTGGGAGGTGGAGGTTGCAGTGAGCCGAGATCACACCACTGCACTCCAGCCTGGGGGATAGAGTGAGACTCTGTCTCTAAAAAACAGCACACACACACACACACACACACGCACACGCACACACACACACACACAAAGCCCCTCCAGAACTGTGAGAAATAAATTTGTTTTTGATAAATTACACAGTCTGTAGTATTCTGTCAAAGTGGTACAAAATGGACTAAGACCCATTGGGGACTGCCAGGATGAGGCTACACCCTGCCTACTCCAGCAACCAGCAAGGGTGGTTTAGGAACCTCCAGGGGACCTTTCTGCCTGGTAACCCATGACATCACAGACTGGCTCATTCTCATTGGCTTGCTGCTTGCCAGGCTGTGCTTTCTGGGCTAAGGTCCAGCCCAAGGGAGAGCTATTCTGGAAGGAAACAGCAAAATCCCAACATGGGGAAAGTGGAGAGACCAGATAGGAAGGGAAAACAAATTCTACTTCTTGGCCTTCCCAAGAAACAGGGGTACCCTGGCCTGAGTTCAGGCTCTCCAGCCTTATCCTCCACCTGTTCAGTGTTTCTGCAACCCACATACAATTCTAGTCCCAGCTGTACCTCCCACATGTGACATGAGGAAGTATCTTCCCCTCTCTGCACCACAGTTCCTCAGGAGGCCTAAGAATCTAGAGATTCACCCAGAAGACAAGATCACATAACCTGTACTGGAATCCTGGCTCTGGAGTCCTTTCGTTCTGGGACCATCTAAGTTGCTTAACCCTCTGTGTGAGTAAAGTTGGGTAAGAACATCTGCTCCAAAGGCTGTTACGTTAAATCAGATGATGAGGGTAAAGCTCTTGGCTCCACACCTAACACATTGTTAGCACTCTATAAATAAATTACACTCAGTGAGATTCTCAGGGGAGTTCGTAGTTAAGTTTAGCATCTGCTTTTCTTCCTCTTTATGCACCTTGAATGCCTGTCCCCTGGTTCTGGTAGAGTGCCAACTCTCGTCACCCCCCCCCCTTTATTTCCTCATTTACACTACCTTCTTCTGGAATTTAAAAAAACGACCAAAAAAAAAAAAAAAAGTCAGGAGCCAACCAGAGCTACCAAGAATCATGACACAGGTGTTGCCAGGCAGAAGTGTTCACAAAAGCCTCCAAAGCAGGCTCCAGTCTGGAATGGCCTAAGCACATATGGCCAGCTTTAGAAGCAGTAACTGAATAAAGAGAAAACTAGACAAGGATTAGACAAGGGGGCATGCTCTCTGAACACTGAGCCCACCTGGGTCTGTAAGTCACTGGGTGTTCTGAGCTCAGAGGGGTCCCACCTCCCCTTCCCACAAAATGCACCTCTAAAAGGGAGCTAGATGGAGGCGTGAGCTCACACCTTGATATCAGACTAGTCCTGGTTCAAATTCTGCCTCCAGCCACTCACTAGCTATGATTACTTGGATAAGTCACTTACCAATGTGAGCCTCAATTTCCTCTTCTGTAAAAAGGGACCACAAAAGTACCTAACTGATAGGGTGACTGTGAGAATTAAAACTGAGGTTAGCCTTTAGGTATGTGTCCTACAAATAATCACAGTACTAACTAACAGTGGCTGAGGCCTGGTGACAGGTACACAGCAGATGGGAACTATTGTGGCCATTATTATTATTACTGAGACTCACGGAGAGGCAGTGATTTATCCAAGGTTACCCATGGCCTAGACCAGAATCCGGTCCTCACAAAGGAGTCTGCCCTCCTCGCCGTGGGATTCCCTGGGGTTTTCACAGGCCACAGCTCTAATGGTCTGCATCGAGGTATCTTGTTCCCCAGAACGTAGCTTGTCATAGCATCTCTACAGGGCTCTCTCAAACCCCTTTCTGCCTGGCAACAGCTGACGTCACACCTAGCTGTAAGTCCCTGTAGATTCCAAATGGCTTTTTGGAGACTGGGGGTAGCAGGGGCATTGGTGTAATACCCTTCTAGCCCTTTTTTAGGGAAACACATGGGTGAGGCTATTTAGGGGCTGGGAGGTGGGATCTGGAGTCCTCTGGATGGCTGTGCTGGCCTCTGGCTGCAAGGGAGGGGGCACAGGCAGGGACATGACCCCCATCGACCTGAACCCCCTCCAGAAATTTAACCAGATCCTGTCCCTCCTTTCTTGCCTGCCCCCCAGCATCTCACAATCCCTCCTGTGATGGCAGACGTTTCCATGTACTTTACAGACACCTGCAAGTATCATTCCCCTGATCCGTGGTAATCAGGAGGGAACTCTGCGAAGAACTGCTTCTACCATCCTCTTTTAGAAACCCTGTTTCTCAGCTGGGCGCGGTGGCTCACTCCTGTAATCTCAGCACTTTGGGAGGCTGAGGCAGACAGAGGCAGGCGGATCACAAGGTCAGGAGTTCAAGACCAGCCTGACTAACATGGTGAAACCTCATCTCTACTAAAAATACAAAAATTAAACGGGCGTGGTGGTGTGTGCCTGTAATTCCAGCTACTCAGGAGGCTGAGGCAGAAGAATCACTTGAACTCAGGAGGCGGAGGTTGCAGTGAGCTGAGATTGCACCACTGCACTCCAGCCTGGGTGACAGAGTGAGACTCTGTCTCAAAAAAAAAAGCAAGAAAGAAACCCTGTTTATCCACTGGGATCTTGAACATTTTCAAAGTCTGTTCCAAGGTGTTTATTTTTATTTATTTTATTTTTTGAGACACAGTATTACTCTGTTGTCCAAGCTGGAGTACAGTGGCGCCATCTTGTCTTACTGCCAAGATGATTCAAATAATCCTCATGCCTCAACCTCCCAAGTAGCTGGGACTACATATGTATACCACCACACCTGGCTAATTTTTGTATTTTTAGTAGATATGGGATTTCAACATGTTGGCCAGTCTGTCCTCGAACTCCTGGCCTACAGGTGATCTGCCCACCTCAACCTCCCAAAGTGCTGGGATTACAAGTGAGAGCCACCACGCCCAGCCTGGTCCAAGGTCTTCAACCTAGCATTCACTGCCCAGCCTCAAGGGGGGTCTGCAGAGCCCCTGAACAGCATGTGAAACTCTAGGGAGAGAATCCAGGCTCTCTTCTGCTTATCAGAAGGAGGGGGTCTGATGCAAGGAAAGTTACAAACTCCTGCTCTAAAGGAACTCCCTCATGTGCCAAGAGAGGGAGCGGGAACCCAGAGCAGGCCAAAGACTTGCTCAAAATCACCCAAAAAGTTACTGTTAGAGCCAGAGCCTGAATCCCTCTTTCCCGTGACTCCTGGCCAGTGCTTCTTCCAGCACATGTGGACAGCTCTGCAGTCCCGGATTTGTGTGCCCTTTCTTGGTGCTCACACATACCTCTCAGGGGCTCCAGGGCGCTGGCCCAGCATGGGCAGTTGCTCATTGTTGGAGATAAGGTCGCGCTGGTCGTCCATGACTCTAGCTTCTGATCTTCCCAACAGTTCCTGCTGCTGCTGCTGCTGCTGCTGCTGCTGCTGAGTATCTGGAACCCTGAACCCCTTTAAGCTCGCCTCTTAAAGTTGGCGCTGGGGAGAAATCTGATTCGTCCACAGGAGGCCACTCCCCACTTGGTAGATGTGGAAGTGAAAGCTACAAAGTTGGAAATACCCCACTTTGGTGAAGCTGCCTTTTGCGGGGCAGGATGTGGAGCAGGGGTGCTCCCCAGGCAGGTAGAAAGGCCAGCGTGATCCCATTGGCTGCCCAAAGCCCTCATCACTTGTTTCTGGGCAGACCTTTGGATTCATAAGGCTCTTCGGATGCTTCAAGAAACGGGCAAATATCCACTCCCTAGACAGGAAAGCACTCTGAAGCAGAAGACGCCTTTGTTGTCTCCCCTTCTCATTCACAGATGAGTGGACGCGGAAAGGGGCTGTGCCCCCTCCGTGAGCTTAGACAAGCCCTCTTCTCTAGCCTCAGTTATGTCGTCTCAAAAATGAGGACGAAGTTTGGACTACCTGCAGGGGAAAAAGCATTTCTTTTCTTTCCCTGTTTAGGTTCTTGGTTGAGACACTCTCCTAAAAACAAAAGTTAACAAAAGAAAAACCAGCCAAAGTTACAAATAATAATAAGAATAATAATAATAAAATAAAGAAAAGAAAAGAAAAGAAAAACCAGCCAGAGTTTATTAACACGTGCTGTACCCATCATGCAGGAGAGGCCTCAGTTGAAATGTATTTCTCTCTCAAGGCAGTGGCTTAGGGGCCTTGCTTAAGTAGTATTTTAACAAAGAGCCATAAGTCCCATAGAGTGATAGGACAGAGAAGAGGATAGCTTCAGGGTCCCAAAAGGAGGAAAATGTAGGAAGACAAATGTACGGGAAGAGCCAAGTCTGATCCGGATCCTCTGAGCTCTGCTTCTGAGCTGATCAAGGCAGAGAGGAGGGGCAGAGGGTACCCCTTGATTTTATCCTTTTACCTTTAATTAAAATTCGCAGGGTTTTAGAGAGGAAGATTTTGGTTTCCTTCAAACCTAAGATTCCGTGGTTTTAACGCTCTGGCACTCAGACTTGCCTCCACTTACTAAGCCCTGCTTCATGCCAGGAACAGTGTGCATGCTTTGTTCCTGTCATCTTTGCAGAGGTCCTCTGAGGAGTGTTTCATCATCTCCATTTACAGATAGGGACACAGGGGCTCTTGTCCAGGATCACACCGCCAGGAAGTGGTGGAGCCTGCGTTTTCAACCACTTTACTCCTCTGCCTCCTTGTGTGGTTCAAATCCAGGAGAACAGGGGCCTGTGCGGGAAGGGAAGAAGAGGGCCTAGGAAGGGGTTCCTGGGAGATGTGACTGTGTTGGCACGGCTCCTGCGCTGTGATACAGTGAAAAACATCTCCGCTCTCTGTCCCTGATTCCTGACGCAAGGACCACTAAGAGCCATCGAATCTCCAGAATGAGGCCGGGCGTGGTGGCTCACACCTGTGAGCACTCAGCACTTTGGGAAGCTGAGGCAGGAGAATCACTTGATGTTAGGAGTTCGAGACCTGCCTGGACAATATGCTGAAACCCTGTCTCTACAAAAAATGTAGAAATTAGCTAGGTGTGGTAGCATATGCCTGTAATCCCAGCTACTTGAGAGGCTGAGGCAAGAGAATTGCTTGAACCCAGGAGGTGGATGCTACAGTGAGCCAAGATCACACCACTGCACTCCAGCCTGGGTGACAGAGCAAGACTCTGTCTCAAAAAAAAAAGGGGGGGGAAAAAGTATCCCCTGAGTGCAGAGAATGTCTTTTTTTATATATTCAGGAAATGCTGGTAGCCGGAAGCCTCTCGATAGCTTCAGGAGGGGGGCTCGGAGCCATGTGAAGAGAGAGTCGGGACTTTCAGACCTCACACCCACCCACCCTGAATTCTGGAGAGGGGAGAAGGACTGGAGGTTGAGTTCAATCACCAATGGCCAGTGATCTAAACAACCATGTCTGCATAACGGAACTTGCTTACCCTAAGTTGCTTAACCCTCTGTGTGAGTAAAATTGGGTAAGAACCAACGTAACAGCTCCAAAGGCTGTTACATTAAATCAGGGTAAAGCTCTTGCATAAAATCTGCTCCAGGTAGACAGCGTCTGAATGGAATCGAATTGTAGGATACCAGCTGGTGTCCGGAGGGTTGGAACACTGGTTGCTGGTGTAGAAAAAAATCCACACATTTGGTGTCAGAAATGCTGTGAGTGTAAAGAAATAAGGTCCTTTTATATACCATATTTGTTTTATTAATCCTTATTTATTGTATGTGCTTTACAATTTGCATTAATAATTTTTTTTTAAGATGGGGTTTCACCATGTTGGCCAGACTGGTCTTGAACTCCTGACCTCAGGTAATCCATCCACCTCAGTCTCCCAAAGTGCTAGGATTACAGGCGCAAGCCACCGCGCCCGGCCAATAATTTTTTAAAATAAATTTAGACTTTGTGGTTCTAAGGTTCAGTGAGTCTTGGATTTCAAGAGTCAAAGATACTATATGTATTTTGGAAGGAGAGAGAAGAGCAGCCATGACCTTCGACATGGACAGACCTGAGTTCAAATCCCAAGTCAAAAACATCCCAGCTGTGAGAGTCCCCAAGCCAGTCCCTCAGCCTTTCTGAATTTGCTTTCTGCTTTATAATATAGGGATGGTAATACTAGCTTTGCAGAGCTGTTAGACTAAATAAACATTTAGCCAGAGCCTCGCACCATGGATATGAAACTGGATCAAACTGGAGACATTTTGTAAGTGAAATAAGCCAGGAACAGAAAGTTAAACACAGAATGTTCTAGCTCATATGTGGAAGCTAAAAAAAGTTGAACTCATAGAAGTGAAAAGTAGAACAGAGGATACTAGAGGCTGGAGAGGGTGGGGGGAAGGGACGGATGGAGATACAAAGGGATACAAAAGCACACCTACATGGGAGGACTAAGTTCTGGCATTCTATACCACTGTGGGATGACTGTAGGTAACAATAATACACAGTTTCAAATAGCTGTGAGACAGAGCAGGGACCCCTCTTAGAGGCGGGCCAAGCACTTCACCAACATAAAAATAGAGAAGAATCTAGGCCAGAAATGGTGTCTCACACCTGTAATCACAATACTTTAGCAGACCCAAGGTAGGAGGATGGCTTGAGGTCAGGAGTTTGAGATCGGCCTGGGCAACATAGTGAGATCCTGTCTCCACAAAATTTTTTTTAAAAATAGCCAGATGTGGTGGCATGTGTCTGTAGTCCCAGTTACTCAGGAGGCTGAGGCAGGAGGATCACGGGAGCCTTGGAGGCCCAGGCTGCAGTGAGCTGTGGTGGTACGTGCTGCAGCTGGGGTGACAGACCTCACTAAAGACCATCACTAAAGAAAGAGGGGGAGTGGTTGCTAATAGGTATGGGGCTTTCTTTTTGGGTGATGAAAATATTCTAGAGTTGACAGTGATGATGGCTGCACAACTTTGTGGATATACAAAAAACATTGAATTATACAGTTTTTAAAGGATGAATGTTAGAGTGCATGAATTAGATCTCACTGTTTGAAGATTTTGATGATGAATAGAACACACTTTTACTTTTGCTTCCTCTCTCACTTTGCTTCTGTCACTAAAATGACCATAGATTGTTTTAAGTGTACATCTACAAGAACGAAGAGAACAGGAGATGAGAAAACAACAATAGAATTTTAGAAGCAGGAAAGCAGGTGAGCCAGTGTTACGTCCCTTAGTAGACCCCCCAAAACTGCATCCTAAGCCTGCAGCGAGAAAAGCTGAGAAGCCACCTAGTTATGTGGCAGAACAGACTCAGGAACTGGTGTGTCAGGTACCCAGGTGGTGAGTACAGGTGGAGCTAAAAAGAGGAGGGTAGTTTGGAAGTCTCTTTCTTTCTTTTTTTTTTTTTTTTGAGACGGAGTTTCGCGATTGTTACCCAGGCTGGAGTGCAATGGCTTGATCTCGGCTCACCGCAACCTCCGCCTCCTGGATTCAGGCAATTCTCCTGCCTCAGCCTCCTGAGTAGCTGGGATTACAGGCACGCGCCACCACGCCCAGCTAGTTTTTTGTATTTTTAGTAGAGACGGGGTTTCACCATGTTGACCAGGATGGTCTCGATCTCTCGACCTCGTGATCCACCCGCCTCAGCCTCCCAAAGTGCTGGGATTACAGGCTTGAGCTACCGCGCCCGGCCCGGAAGTCTCTTTCTTAGGCAGTTAGATACCCATGCCCTCTCCCTCCCCGAGTGCCATCCGTCCCCCTCCCTGAGGCAAACTGCAAGTTTCTTTACCAGACACAATAAAGAACGTGAACCTGTCATGCCTGTAACCCCAGCACTTTGGGAGGCTGAGGGGGGTGGATCACAAGGTAGAAACCCTGTCTCTACTAAAAATACAATAAAAAAATTAGCCAGGTGTGGTGGTGCGTGCGTGTAATCCCAGCTACTCAGGAGGCTGAGACAGGAGAATTGCTTGAAACTGGGAGGTGGAGGTTGCAGTGAGCAGAGATCACGCCATCGCACTCCAGCCTGGGCAACAGAGCGAGACTCTGTTTCCAAAAAACAGAAAGAAAGAAAGAAAGAACGTGAGCCTGATACTGAAGCTGAGGCCCAGTGTTCTTCCCTACCCACAGTGTGAAAGCCAGGCCTTCACCCAAGCCACAGCCTGAAGGAAGCTTCTCTGTGGAGCGTGACCACCCCAGGAAAAAAGACCTCAGGACTCTGACATTGGGAATTTCCAGATGAAACAACGCAGGCTGAATACTCTATAGGAATTCCTCGGTAGATAAACCCTACTCATCGTCACCGCTGTCTTAGACAATCAAGCTTTTTAGATCATCAAGAATCATGGGACATCTAAAGAAAGCCTTTAACATAAAAGAGTGAACCAAACAATCACACAGGAGAAAAAGCACTATATGGCCAGGCACAGTGGCTCAAGCCTGTAATTCCAGCACTTTGGGAGGCCAAGGTGGGTGAATCACAAGGTCAGGAGTTTGAGACCAGT